AAGCATTTTTGAGATATTGTTATTCTTAACATGATTTTATCCAGTATAGATAACATTTTTGTAGTTCAGCTTGTAGATATGGTACATCTGAAGCGGTTTTATTAGCATAACAGAAGTGATGAAAGTTCCAAGGTCTTCAGTAAAGGTATTATTTCTATGTTCTCCAGGTTTTCAAAAATGTACAGAAGGTTATCTAGTTTTAAAGTGATTGAATAAATTACAAAGATATTTTTATGAAAAATGATTAAAAAAATACTTTACCTGTACGCAGATGAATAAGCCTGTTGGTCATAATCTTTTGTAGAAGTGCAAAATCTTGCCATTGTTGAGTGACTATCAAACGACCTTGAGCGCGTCAACTAGTAAACGGTCATTTCTTTTTGGTTTTAATGAAGAAATGAAATGAAATCTATAGTAGAAATGACTTTTTAATGGTGTTTAGGAACTTATATATATTTTCGACTGCTTTTTTCTGCTTATAATAAAACTATGTACCGTAAAGATATTCATCCATGTTACTATGATGATGAAAGTAAATTTTCGAAAGAAGAGTTCCAGAAAGATACAACGGAACAAGTTCAACAAAAACTGACAAGAATTTTGAGAAAGAAAGAAAAATTAGTCATCAGTGAAGAGATGTTTGAAAGACTGAAACCATCTGGTTCAGTAATTCTTCGACTTTACGGTCTTCCCAAAGTTCATGAAAAAGATGTTCTTCCTCGTTCAATTGTTGACATGAACAATTCATCTTATCATGGGATTGCTAAATGGTTAACTGAAATCCTACATCCAGTGAAGAACTAGATCACTAATTACAGTGGTCATGACTCTTTCGACTTCGTTAACTGCATAAGAGAGGTCAACGTATGTGGCAAGCGTGTTATCATTGGACGTCACATCGCTCTTCATAAATGTCCTTTGGACGGAAACAATCTGCTCTCTATGTGATTATATGGAGATCAACAAGCTTGAAACTGGGACTCCTAAACATTGTCTGAAGGAATTGCTCTTACCATGGACCTTTAATATACGATTTAGATGCAATAATAAGCTTTATCGACAAATGGATGGTGTACCAATGGGTTCTCCAATGGGCCCTCTCCTAGCTGACTGCTTCATCGGAAATCCAGAGGACAGTAACCTATGTCCGTTGATCGACCAGTTTCATCTACATAAGAGATATATGGATAACACTTTCATCATCCGTGAGGAAAAGGATAGTAACCTTGAAGAAATACTACGAAAGTTCAATGATTGTCATAAGTCAATTAAATTTACCACTATTCTTTTATATTATTTGTCTCTTGGGTTCCTAATGGAATATAGGGCTTCAGTACCACATCTCCATTTCACTCTGTTCTCTGCGGTCTTTTGAGCCTGGCTCCACGACTGCCCACAAGCTTTCATTTCTTCCTCACATCATCTCCTCCATGTCACCCTCAGCTGGGACGCCCAACTCGTCGTTTCCCCTTTGGATTCTACTTGATGGCCTGGCCCGGCGCGTGATGTCCCCAATCGGTCTTCTCAGTGTATGTCCAATCTAATCCATCTCCACTTTCTTCTACTGCATATTTGTTGGATGATAGGTTCTTGGTTGGTTCGTTACCAGCCAGTCAGAGTTCCTTGTTGCTTATTCTTACTATTCTTGCCATCTGATCTTCAGTATGGAGTGAGCGTAGGCTGCAGCTGTTGATGAATGTCTGTAGTTTGTTGGAAGTGCTTTTCGTGACACGCCAAGTTTCTGAACCATCACATAGCAGCACTGACTTGACTGACATTAGTGTTGAAAATCCGGATCTTGTTCACGCTTTATACTGAGTGCAGTAGATCTCCACACTGATTTCAGATTAATGAAAGTCTGTCTTGCTTTTCGGCTGCCAAGGTGGTAGGTGAAAGAGACTACTTTCTTTAGGTTTCCCCCGTTCATGGTGATTTGTGCTTGTTGTTGGTTGGGTATCTTCATCACCTCCGTCTTCTCTACATTCACTTGAAGTCCTGTTTTCGCCGCCTCTTCTATCAACTTGTTGGTTTTCGCGTGTAGATCTTCGAGTTTGTGCAACAAGACATTAGACATAAATCAGCATCATCGGCGAAATCCAAATCTCCTTCAAGGGTCTTTTCATCGGTCCAGTCAGCGTATGCCCATCTTCTCACTCCTCACGGTTTGCTGCATGGTCCAGTTGACCGTAATCAGGAAGATCATCGGTGACAGTAGGTGGCAGCCTTGTCTTACTCCTGTCTTTACTTCAAACGCATCACTGAGCTTCCTATTGTGAATCACTTGACATGTGGCGTCTTCATATATTTGTTGAATGAGGTTGATAAATGTTTCTCCTCTTTGGTAACTAGCTTTCCTTCACTATCTTTTATTGGTTTCATCTGCATTAATCTCTTCCCAGATAGCAACCTGGTTATTTGATATAGTGTTGTCAGGTCTCTGTATCTCTTACCTTCAGCCTGTTCTGCTTCACTTGCCAATGTGTCGTAGAAGTGTCTTTTGTCTTTCCGTGCACTCTTCTTCACTTCTTTGTCCAGTGTAGTGTTTTATAGGTTGTATTCAGTTCTTCTTTTCTTTGTGCATCCTTGCACTGGTTCATCTTCTGCCTCACCATCTTCCTCTCACTCCTCTATCAGCTTCCATGTGTCCGTCGAGATCCATTCCTTGTCTTGTTTCCTCTTCCTTCCTAGTACGGTCATGCAGGTTTCTTTCCACATCTCTTTCAAATAGTTCCAGTGTTCTTCCACGCCCGACCCTTCAGGGATGTTTCTCAATATCTCCCATTTAGTCCTGATGTCTGACGTGAAGATGTCCTTTGTAGTTTCATCCTTCAGTTCAGTTTCTGTTTCGGGGTGTTGAACTTTAACTGTGGTGTATCACCAACTTCTTTGAAAGCTTTCAACTTGATTTTGAAGGTGGGTAGTGTGAACCACCTACATCTGTTCCTCTTCTTGATCTTGTGTCAAGTAGGCTGCGTCTCCACTCTCTTCACTTTGAGATGAAGTCGGTCTGATTTTCAGTGCAGTGTGTCCATCAGGTGAAGTTCATGTCGCTGTGTGAATGTCCTTGTGTTTGTACATACTGCCTCCAATCAAGTCGTTGAATGCGCAGAAGTCTCCAAACACTTTTCCATTCTCATTCATTTCACCAAGTGCTTCTCGACTCATGATTGGTTCTCTTCCTGTGTTGTCCGTTCACAGTTTGGCATTCATGTCGCCCATTAGAATTTTGATGTCGCCAACTGGAGTCGGGTCTTATCTAGTACTGATTGCAGTTGTCTGTAGAATTCCTCCTTCTTCTGTTGATCCGCATTATTTGTAGGTGTGTAGAATTGTATGATTGTAACTTTCCTTCCTTTTGAGTTGAATCTTGCTTTCATGATCCTGATCCTGATCGTGGAGGAGATTGGTTCCCACTGCATGAGAGAGGGCTTTAGATGCTGTTGGGGACATCATGATAGCCACAGTCTCAGTGTGCTCGTGGTTTTCATCTGGGTGACCGGAGTAGATTATTGACCCTCCAGTTTGGAGAGTCCACTTCCATTCCATCTGCTTTCACAGATTCTAAGCACTTCAATGTGATACCTCTTCATCTCGTTTGCAATCTGGGCAGCCTTAGTAGGTTCACACACGGTGCGGACATTTCATGTCCCCATCCTTACTTTCGCTTTCATCGAAAGAGCGAAGACACATAGGCCGACTGGCTTCCCGAAGGCTTTCACCAACCGGCGTCATTTCGTCTCTCCGATTCCAGCAAGGAATAAGTTTTTTTTATTTTGCATATTTTCTTTGTGCTTAGAAGTTTCTTTAGCGACTGGATTGGTCTTACTGGGTAGGGTTGCTAGTCCTATGCCTAACCTTCCCTCTTTACCCGGTCTTAGGACCGGCAAGTAACTAGTGAACTAGGTAACTGGGCGAGGTTACCCCATTAGCCATTGATGGATATTTATGTTTAGTTGTCACTTTATTTATGATGTACAGCTTTTGAAAATGATTTGTCGAGAAGAATTGTCTAGATTGTCTTTTATTAATTCAAAGTCTTCCAGAACGCGTTTACAGTCACCTTCAACTTGACTGGTTACCTCAAGGCCTTTTGCTACTCCCTCAAGGAGGACAAGACTACATTTCTACCTAATCTTTTTGTCTTTAGACTGGAAACTAAAAGTTATATTTTTAAATACAGTTAGAATTTCACATGGAAAAAAGGGACTGGATGAATGTTGTTTTCGACAAAAAAGACAAGATGTTTGGGTTGTTAGTTATGTACACGTAATACCTGCTAGAGCTATTTTGGTTGGTTAAGGCTGGCATTCTCTTCACAGTTGACTTACCTTTGTTATCTAGAAACTTAACATTGATAACTCATCATTGTTTTCCTCGTATAAAAGTGATGCTTGGAAAGATTAGGTTGTTCAGCTTTAACAATCAACTGCCACAGTTTTCTAGCAGAACATGGATTAATCTTGTATCACTCATCGGCCCTGTTATGATAACGAGTGTTTCTCGTGTAAATTTGGTTGGTATAAATATGCATTCTCTAGATAAAGTGGGGGTTCTTTTTCCATTTACCCAGATGTATACAATTTAGTTATTTTCTTATCAATGAATTTATTTAATGTAGCAACGATTTAGGGCATCAGTATATGTGACTGTTGAATTACCGTGGATGGTGAATGAATTTACCACTTTCCACCGTGTGTTATCTATATTTTCGCTGTATTCCAATATTGTAGATGACTAGAAGGTATCAGTATGAAAAAATCTGGATTTTGTCCACGAGCTTTTTAATCTGTAGACTGAAAGTAATTGGCTACTGGTTCGAACCCCACCTCACTTACCAGGATGTAGGTTACTGTCGACTGCACAAACGTCCATGTAGTCATTAAGTTGCAATTCCACTTTTCTCTTGTTTCATCTTTGAATAATAATCTATTAAAATTATATTATTTTTACTCAGTTTCATCTGATTTGTTTCGTCTTCTTATATTCTCTTATTTCTTTATAGATTAACAGTCAAATGTCGAAAAAGTTAGCTGGAAAAATTCATTATTTTCATCCACCTATCCCATTACTACCGACATATTATTCTTCATCTGGATTACAACATAACAGTAATTTAATGAATAATGAGGATGTTGAAAGTGAACAACAACAAGAAAACCAGCAACCACAAAAGACAGTTGATTCATCTACTGTTCATGATTATGGTTTTGAACACTTGTTGAATGATCATATCCTAGGGGAACAAGCGTCAGCTGCATTTTTATGCGGTAAACTGCAAGGTTTACTACGTTGTAATACCTCGAAATTGATGCAGATTGACCACCACAACAATAATAGTACTACTACTGCGACTACTGATAGTAGTAATGATATTGATACGAACATTGTTGGCAGTAATTGTAATGATGTTTCACGTCTCATTCAGCAATTGTTTACTAAAGCTGAAAAAGGCCTAAACAATTGTCATTCAATCGATGAACAGAATAAAGTCATTAAAGAAATACAAGATTTAATTATTTCAGGTATTAAAACTGATATTTCTACACCGTTATCATCGTCAGTGGATATAGTGAATGGAATGATAAATGATTCATATACTTCTGCAAGTACTGTTAATACTAATGATAATGGCAACAGATTGTCTTCAAAACGACGTAGATTGACAAAAAAGTTATCAACAATACCGACTACTGTTAACGTTGATGATAGTGAGAAAAAAGAACAGCTTCTGCCTGCTACTATCAGAAAACTTCTTTATCCAACCTGTTATTCATCATCACCATCGCTGTCATTAGTGCATGAGTCGAATGATTCATTCTCCGAACCGGACAATAGTAGACTGTTAGCATCATTTGATCCATTTGTTATCAGGCTAGCAAGTAGAATTATTAATCCTGATTATCTTGGTAATGGTTTATTGAGTAATGTGAGATCAGATTACTATCACTTTTCTGCAAATCATTCCTGTCACTCGGATATGATTTTATGGACTTCACCTCAGTCGCAGTCATTATCTATTGGAAGAATATCAAGTTTATTGAAGACTACCGGGGCAAGAGAATCAGAGCGTTTTTTTACGCTTACTCTTCCATCGACTAATCTGTCATCTAGATCATTTTGTGAACTTGATTCTTGTTTCATTGATGAATCAGGTGAAAGAATCAGTATAATCGGTCGTTTGTTACCGACTTCAAACAGTAAAAAAAGTGTTGTCTATATGCAAATGAAGGTGAAGGATGTATCGGATTTGTCTAGCTCAAGCATTGAACACATTCAAATCATACCAGGCTCATCGAAACATTGTGTTACTACTAAAACTGCTATCGCCAGTGTCTGCATGAGTCGATCAATTCCAGGGGAATGGTGTATGGCTGGAAATTATTTAGACAAAAAGGGTGATCGTAAAGCTGCTATCTACTTGTATAATTGTAGTGACAGCAAATTACCCATATGGTCCGGTTATGTGAACCTAGGTAACTATACAGAAGCTATAGCGAAAGAAAATGCTATGTGCTTACAAAGCACTGCATCATCATCATCATCGTGGCCTAAAAAAGATCCAGTTCAACTAGACATTGAATCTTATTGTCAGTATTCAACACGAAAGCTCCGCTTATTTCAGCATCACTCCAGTCATTATTGGTTACGTGTAGGATTTGGGAGTTATCCCGGTGAATTGTGTCTGACAACTACACGTCGTATTCTGGTATTCGATACGCGTGCCCCATTGTCACTATCATCAAATGCTTATCAACTGTTAAACATTGCAGAAAAGTCTTCTCAGTTCAATTCAACTGACTATATCACATATTGTTCACCAAAGTGGATGGGTGATGTATATATATTAGCCGGGGGTTATTATAGTATGTTTCTATTGGATAAACGTATGCCTAATCGAACTGTACTACATTGGTCGCATAATCTTACAAAACCTTTAGCTCATCTTCATTGGACCAAGGTAGAAAGTCGATATCAATCAATGTATAATGATATTCCACAATTTCTAGTTTCCATGACTTCTCAGTACGCTTCAGATATGTCAACATTTGGCATGAATTTCAATTCCGCCTCAGGTCCTCAGTATGTTGGCCCGTGTTTGTCCGGTATGCCGTTAACAAGTCTAGTCACATCATTCCCACCGAGTAATACATTCCAGTCAAGTAGTCAGAATGCATTGTTTAAAACACGTCTACAAAGTTCCGTTTGTGGTATCACATCCTACTATTATCCCTTGCCAACAGATGATGGTAAAAATCAATTTCACACATTATTACTCACATCTTACGGTGATCTATTCGATTATTGTGCCTATCTACAGGACCAAACGACAATCATGATAATATTCATCAGCATAATATGATCGAGGATTATGAAGCTAACGCTCAGACAGTTGTTACCAACTGGTTGTCAGAACTTTGTTGTCGACCACAGGATAATAAGCCTTGTCAAGAAAACAACAACACACAAGTGTCTGTAAATCCTCAAGGTTCTTTAAATCTATCCAAAGTTATTGACGAAGAGTTGTCATCAACTGACTTGGATAGTGAGCTTGCTGACTTTGAGAATATCAGTAGCAAGATTAATGGTAATCAGCACTTTTCTATCCATCATTTGAATTTATCCACCTGTTCTACAGACTCTTCAAAATATCTACTTAAAGATTTAGAAGCCATATGGAACTACGATGAAGCTTACAAAGAAGAGAATAAAAGTAAAAATTCATCACAGTTCGCTTCCATATTCCTCGACGATTTATCAGATGAGCGTATGTTAGAGGAAGAGAAACGGCAAAAAATGATTAATGAATCTCATGGTGATGAGTTTAATCACCTGTTAGACAAATTAAAAAATCGATACATGAATAGTTTTCCAACGCATAGCTATGAAGTCAATGGTGGTAATGTTGACAATCGATGGCCATGTGCTTTATCACCATCCCCCGTACCTGGTCCTTCTTTTTCTTCACTGCCTTCTCAAGATAAATTGCCATCTTCAAGTGGTCAATCCGAGTATTTTACCGCTGAGGAATTTTGTTAGCAAATGGTACATTTTATGCTGTAAAGTGCTTTTTTTTTCTCGATTTTCTTTTTTTTTTGTATAAATATTTTGTACTGTTAATTGGATTAAAGAAAAATAGAATATTTTCCTCATGATAGATTTCGTCTTCTTTTCGATTTAACGTTGTAAATACACCAGAGATCACTCTCTTTTATTATTATTTTCTAAAATTAAAAATTATCTATTTTCCTTCAAAGGATGATGAACACACTGTGTCTCTGTCTACGGTAAAAACAGTATGGTTTCATTGGGAAATCATTGGAAACGCTTTATATCAGCCTGTACCACTCCGTCTGCTAATGCCACTATTGGAAGTGGTTCTGTAACATCATCTGCTGGAATTGTTAGCAATGCTGGTTCAGCTGCTGCGGCTGGTGCTGGTGGTACACCGTCGACACAAAATTCCCTACAGAAATCACCAGTTGAATGGCAGTGTCTAAATGAAACTGTTAATACCCTTTTAAAAGGATGTCCAGTATCACGTTTAGCTATTTTAGACCATTTAGCACCGTTGTACGTTGAATACTTTGTTACTTGGTGGCAAATAAATTCTACATCCTCGTCGAATAGACCCCAAGAGACCGGCAATGCAACTGTTCGTAATTTGAGTTATGAAAGTCAGAATTTAAATAAAGCTGAAGTTGTATTACGTGATCTCTTGAAGACGGTAAGTAACAGGTGGATTTTAATTTGTATTCATGTTTTAATACACTGTATGTGAAGTACTACATTTTATGTTGATGTATGTGTAGATGTGTGATTGCTAAAGTCGTTGTACTAGCCATCGGTGAGCATTTGGCCTTACACCTGAATTGGTTGATCCTATAGGTTACGGGTTCTTGTTAGGACTTCGGCAAATCCCTGTTGGGGCAAGTCCATCAGTGAGCACTAGACAGTAATTCAATTGGGGGTGGGGGAGGGTGGGGTGGGGTTGAAATCTGTCATCCCACTTCTGTCAGTTCATAATATAGCTCTATCTTTGCATGTATACTGCTTACGAGTCTTATACTAAGACGAAACATCTATTCAGTGCTCTCACTTTTTCAGTAGTTCTCTGATCGATGTCATTCTGTGATGAATACTACCTTCAAAATCAATCAATCCTCACAAACCACTAATTGGAACAGAGACGTTTTTATAGAATCCTAATACTGCTTTGAATGTTCCATTTTACAAATTAATAATTGGCATACATCGTATTAGTCTTCCTATAGGATTATAGAATTACAAAACTACTATCTTAAACTGTTAAGATAAGGTTGAAGAATGAATAAATCTGTGCTACTAGGATCTGTTGTGTCATGGCTTAAGCTACACTATTCAACTAGTGATACCTCATTTCGTTTGACTTCAATAGACAGGGATACGGTTCTTCAAATGGCTTAACCAAACAGTCAACAACTCCTTACATTGATATCACATCTTGACGTTTTCATTGTGAAGTTTATCTTTTGGTAATCTTTGTGTTTGAATCTGATAATAATTCTAAGTTCAGCGGGGTTGTACATGTTAGTTTTGTTATAGGGAGGGAGAGCATACGTATCCTTTGTCAATTATTATTCACTTCTTCTTTGTGTGCTCTTTTGAAGTGTAGAAACTTGAATTTCGGCGCTTCTTTCAATAATTTCACACTGGTTTGTGTTTCTTATGTCCAACACTCATATGTTCTCATATATGATATCTCTTATTACTTTATAAAAGCAGGTGATCAGGTTCATATAGTATACTCAGAATAGTCGTATGATGTTACATTATTGATTACCTGCACTCAAACTGGGTTGCAATCAATCAGACTTACCACTGACACTATTTTATTTTGTATCATCTGCTGAAAGAGGACTGTTGCTTATAATACGAGTGACCTAAACAATGTGAATGAAGTATAGTGGATAATTAGTCAAGGTTAAAAATGAAAACCATTCACTATGCAACCAATCATTTCTTAGTGGTGCATGTAAGCTTGCCTTTTTTGTCCACTACGACAGTTTCTCCTATCATGTGTTTCATTACTGATTGTAAGTTATTTGCCTGGCATAGATAGCTATATAAATATATATATATATATATATATATATATATATATATATATATATATATATATATATATATATATATAAGGGAACCTGTAAGCAGTGCACACCTATGACGCCGCAGTGGATCGGACTCACGACTTTCTGGTCTCGCGGTGAAAGCGTTAATAATTCAGCCACTGGGTCGGAGTTCGATTATCCAAAGTTTCTTGCTTCTGTCAGTTCGCGATATAGTGCGACCATCCGCCAAGATCTTCAATTGACATCCACTTCAATCCCGACTAGTTGACCCAAAAGTCATGGGTGCGTACTTCTGGGGAGTCCCATACTAGGGCAAAACGACTGTTCAGTGGTTCTTCAACGGTCTGATGTCAGCCCATGATGAATACTACCTTAAAAATTATATATATATATATATATATATATATATATATATATATATATATATATAATATGACAATGATCACGGGTGAGCAACCGAATTCATGTGGTGCGCATTAGTAGATGTTAGATTACCGTGACGCTGAGCATCTTAGCGTGGTGACCACACTGTAAATACGGTCGATAGGATTTGGTCTGCACTCAGGACTAGATAACATGAAATTGGTCGCTCTCCCGTGACCAATCAATAAGTGTAACCTAATCCTACGGGAGGTCAATCGCGGCCTGAATAGCTCAGTGGTAAAGTCGCCGACTACATCACTGGGTGACGCAAGTCCGAATCTCAGGAGGGGCATCAGTTCTGTCGAGGTTGCAGATACACCTTGCTGACGAGTGCCAAGAAGCACAAAGCTTTGGTCCATGGCTTCCTGTCGCTCGCCTCTTACCAACTATAGTGAAAAATGAGAAATTCTGACCTCAAAATTTTGATTCATTTGTTTATCAGTAACATTGTTATAAAAACTGATGGTTTTTGATTTTACCTTGAAACCAGTAAGAAAGGAATGCATACTTCAAAATAGCTGTGTTATATAATGTGGTCATATGCAGGTTTGTGCATTAGACAATGAGCCATAATTACTGTATGAAGGTCGACAATAATTCTACGTGGTTGCCGAAACACTCATCGGGGGAGTTGGATACAATGTCACGACCCACTGGTTAAAAGTCAATTATCTGCGTCAATGAAAAATAGCTATAGAGAATATGGTTTATAGAAAATTTCTTGTTTCTTCCAACCATTTAGTTGTCAATGAGTGAACGTAAAATGATCACTACATCTTCACCATTTTTTCTATTTTGTCGTTCATTCTAATCTCTGAAGATATTGCTTATATTACTTTCAATGTTTAATTTTTCCAGATTCATGAACTCATCATTCAAGACGGTACAAGTGATCATTTCTTTGCAGCAGTCTGTTCTTGGTGTCTTGTTTTAATTAGACCGGTGTGTACAGCTGCACCAACTCAACTTTTATCGAATTTAATGGACTTGCTTAGGTCGCCTAATCGTCATTCAGATAACGCAAAGTTATCTTCAACATCCGCTAGAAATATTCATGGTACGCGTTTAACTGACCGAGTAGCACTGGCAAAGTCTAAGTTGAAGAATGCTTTAAATACTGATAATTCAGCGGCTACTACTAGTGATAATAAATCGAACAATAACAAAGGAGTTAACTATCAACGTACTGGGAAACACAAATCAGATCATCAATTAATTATAGTTTCGGATTCGGACTCCTCCTCAAACTCGACTAGTGATGAAGATAATGAAGAAGACGTTGATGAAGGAGAAGTAGCAAGTGAAGATATACAAATGGCTTCTGATAGTATTCACAATACTGGGAATAATGAAACCGGTGAGTCGAAGCCGTCATTTACAAATTTAGACAATCGAGATCAAACTACTGATATTAAATCGAGTAGCAATAAGCGAAACGGTCAAATACGTTTTGGAGTGGGAAAACTAGATTCTTCTTCTGGCTTACCGATTAAAGGGGATTCTGTCAGTGATCATACAGTCAATCTGGATTTAAGTCCAACTTCTGCTGTAAATCAACAAATATTAGGACTTTGGGTCAAGTGTCCTGTGGTTGTTGATCTTTTGAACATCACGTGTGATTGTCTATTGGTAGGTTTCTTTATTATCATAGAGACACTTTTTCAAAGAGTATACAAAAGTTTGAAATATTTACGTAGTGAGTTTTATTTCTGTCTGTTTTTTTATATACTACTAGAATGACTATTTGTATTCGAGATAAACAGTACTCGTTTTCTATGTTAAAGTGGTCCAGATCCCAGGTCTTTGCGCGGGTTTCGGATCGGGCTTATCAGTGACGTACACGAATTGTTATAACTCAGATGACAAAATAATCTGAAGAGTCAGGATTCTAGGTATTAACTTAAATAGTCCCCACCTCAGAATTCGCATTTCAAAAAACTTCCGACTCCGGTGGATTCTACTCTCTTTCGTAAAGTTGTACGGGTTACGTATTTTAAAAAGCAAAGATTGATCACTTAAACGTGCTATATATCCGTCACTCCTACTACTGTAAACAGCGACAAATGAAGGTGTATACACCCACCTTTGACTTGATTTTATCCTCACTTATTTCATATAAGAGCACTTGATTTGCAACTGGTGGATCACGAGTCCGAACATCGCTCCACCTACCGAGGTTTACAAAACCAGGTTATACCGTTAGGTATCACACAAAAGGCCTGGCTCTTTGCCTACTGCACAAATGTCCAGAAGGTTGCTGAGTGAATTTCAATTCGACTAGTTCATATTAGTTAACAGCACAAAGTAATACAGTAATACAGCTGAGTGGTAAATACTCATAAGGTTGAACTTATTGACTCTGTTCCACTCAACTGATGACAGTAATCTCAACCGTTGGATTAGATGATAATCATCCAATACTAAATAAGTCTCTACACTTGCCTAATACTCCCATAAAGCTTATTTTTATTATTGTGATGTAGATCGCCACTACTGCAAGAATACCCTTAGCATTGTGTAATATATACTAATCCACATGGCTACGGCTTTGATCGCACTGACCTTATCCCTGACCTGACCGCTCTCCCAAAAACTGAGATCAAATAACAAAGAAGTGGTTGAGTTAGGAGAAAATTGGTTAACTGGCATGGGCCTTACATGCACAAGCCACCGCTGAAGGTGTACAACCTCGTCGACTGACTTGCTATCCTTACTTAGTGTCATTTGTCTAACATTCTTCACTTGGTGATTCCACCAAACGCGAGGAATGCTGCGGAGACACTTGTCGTCAAAAACCTGATCGAATGAAATCGAAGTATTCATGGAATATTCAGTGAGTAGAGAAGTTTGGCTGTTGGACCGATTTCCGAATTGTTATGACAACTAATCAACAAAAAATTGTGTTTTGACTTAACCTAGGTTGAGCATAACTCATTGTCGATTGCTTCCAACCACGTAATATCAGTCAAAAGTACATTATAAGCATGAGTTCCCAGTAACCAATCAGTGTGTTGACTCAGCTACGTTTTATTAGCGCTTTTTCCCCTAATACAAATTAAAAACCAGTAAAATGTGTTAAATAAACAGGATTTAATGAGTTTCAGTAAAATTCTTTTGTAAAATTTTCTCCACTATGTACATGTAGCGTAAGACGTCTGAGCGATTGAAACAACAATGAATCATGATAAAATTTAACCTGTTAGGTGGAGATGTACAGAGTTGGAAGAGAATGTGATCTTCCATAGTCAATTTACTGAGTAAAATGATCTCACTACCTATCAAAGGATGTCTGCTATGTAGCGGTCCTCTCTGTTCTCTTATACAGCTGGGTGACCGGGTGGGCTGAAAGTAGAAGATATGAAGGGGTTACAGATTTTTGGACCCAGGTGTCTACGTAGAATTTCTCGTATGTGATGGAGGTTAGGCATTGGGCATTAGTCAAGGAAGGTAAGTCAGTTAATTAGGTTGTGACCCTTCACCTTTGGATATGTTTTGGAAATGTGTTGCTCATGCCGAACCAGCACCTACATGAACGTGCATTGTTATCCGAAGTAAGATTGTAATACGGCGGAGGGTGGCCACAGCAAGATGTGATACCAGTCAATAATGTCTTTGCCTGTTGGTTTGAGCAATTTAGGGAGGCGCAAACTGCATAACTGTAGTCCTCGAGAAAAAACAAATCAATGGTTGGAAACTGTTGGCTCTACGGCTCAAAATCACTTATGCTCTTTGACATTTTCTATAGTTTCACAGCAGAGCCCCATTGGATATCTGCTTGATGCCTGTGACGCACAGCCTCCTGAGGATTGTCGGTTTGCGATTTGGTTGTTATAGTGCCGGGTAAAGAAAAACCCACACTGCTTGCACCGAAACGCCACTGGCAAACAGAAGTGTCATATTTTAGGGACCAACCTTTCTAACTATCCTTCCTACCGAGAAAGCAGCATCAACATAGTACTGCTAGTTATCCGCGGGAGAAACCTTACTCCTATCACATCCAGTATAACCAACAGTTTGACGTCGCCCTTTGACTCCCATCATAGTGTAGGAATTTACACTATATAACGGTCACTGCTTTTCGTCTTATCACCATTCAACGGACGTTTCTGGCATGGTGGAACCTCTTTGGTTCGTCGTGGTGATATACCAGCCTGACCACCACGCTAAGGTAGCAGCTATCGGTCATGAACATTTTCTCTAACTTTTAGTTATTCTTCACGCCTTCCATACCCTTTTATCTACTGTGGTATCATTCCTTTTCTATCCACTTGTTTTTGCGTACTTCTGTGAAGCATAGCTACATGAACTTAGTTTACTCACATCACATTAGTTGTCAGTGTTCTCGTAATAAGACTTTGAACAATAATAAGGTAAAAATCTGCATCCTAAATTTCATTGCTAGCCATTACCAAATCGGATCTATCTGGTATACTTAAAATGAGTGAGAAACGTCATGAAAGCTGACTAGCCACTTAACGAAGTTCTTAATTAGCTAAGGAAAACATGAAGAACACTAGAAAGATGATGATTCAAGTTAGTGTACAATAAAAAAGTACTACCATGAAAGCTTTAAGGTTAACCAAAGATCTCGTTAAGCGAATTTAGTCATATAGACGTTTAGAAATGCAGTCGTTCTGTTTGTAAGAGTAATGTTTTTGCTTTATGGTGATTAAGCTCTTAATTCCTATTTTATTTCTGATATTGTCTCTTGGTTAGTCGCGTACTTGCGTGAAATACACCAAGTGTGATAACGTAGTTGCTGGTGTCGAAGTCAGTTCAGTGAGTTTGAACCTCACAATTTAGTCGGTTTGTAGACCGGTTGTATAGATTAAAGTGGCAGGATTCCACCTTACTTCACATCAAGAGTTTTGGTCTGACCACCCTAAAATCTCTTTTAAACTAATCCAGCTTCCCTGAAGCATGGTACATGGATATAGGTGGTGGATCAGCATGCACAGCATATATCCAAGGCACATCAGATGGTAAAGACTCACAACCTGACCAATCAACTTATCTGTGTTGCCTAGTACCCCTTGCCTGACTTCAACACTGCTCACATGGCGATTCAATCAAACGCAAGCAATGCTACGAAGACACCTATTGTCAGAACCCTTGAAACCGTTTTATGTTTTCTACTTACAGTGGCCATGTTTCACAGCCTTATAACCAGACGGAACGGTCCGCAACGCACTATACTCGTCCTTTGTTATGTAGTTGGATATCTCGCCATTTAGCACTATAGATGACTCAAGTAGGTAAATTTCGTCAGCAACCAGTGTGGTCTGGCCGAAGTGTTCAACACATTCCATCACTTCACTCCCTGTCATTAGGCTGCGAGCACTTGCAGCAAACCAATGTTGGAGTATCGTCTTACATTTGCCAGGAGTGAAACACATGCCGTGCCAAACATAATCAGATTTCTTCTCAAGGCGTTTAGAAGACTCTGCTTTTTGTCAGCGTCTTCGCCTAGCAGGACATTATTGTCGGTATATTCCAAGTCAACCAGATGACTTCCAGAGAGTAGAACAATCCCTATGTAGTCAGACGTACATATAGTTATGTCCATTAGTATGTGTGTGACAAAGTTAAATAAGAACGGTGACAGTGGGGATCCCTGACGGACAGCACTAGTTGTCGTCATTTTGCATGACAACTCTCCATAAGTCCTGACATTGCTGCATGGGTTCGAGTAGAGAGCTTTGATTAGCGTTATATACTTGCTTGGTAATCTGTTCATGGTCAAACACTGACACAAAACCTGATGGTCGACAGAGTCAAGTGGCACCTTCAGGCCAGAGAATTTAGATCCATTCAACTGTTTTTACACGCCATTTTTCTCCACTTAGTACACAAGCGTCATGATCCGTGGACATATCGAAATATGTGTATGTGCTGTTTTCCTCTTGATTTATACATTCATGAATATGAAATATTCAGCCGACTAGCTTTGGTGGAATCTATGAACTCATTAAGTTCTTTTATTCCCCTTATTTCATGAACCTTGAACCAATTGGACATTATTTGAAATAGGTCATCTACTCACTTGGTAATTCAGTGGTTCAGCCCATAACGAAAACTCCTGTCACCATTTTGTATAAACAACAGGCAGGATTACTTATCTATTAAAGATTTGCTTTGTAACGCTTATTGGCAGTTGAACAAATATTCCTGGGATTGAACACAATACTTCTGGGCTATTGTAGCTAATAAATGTTGTATTTGAAAACTTTGGCTTTCTTTCTTTCGGACTAGCTAACCACATACTGTCTGGTATAATTACACGACAGTTTAGGTAAGTATTGCTATTCAAGCTCGTGCATATGTGTGTACTAGACTATGAACTGCTGAAGTCGAAGTAGGCGAAACGGGCTTCGAACTAAGGACTCAGTGTTTGAAAGTTGAGTTCCTGAGCTGATAAACCACACCTTCATAATTCACATCAGTCCATCCATATGAGTGTCAACACGAGGACACCACGACCTGTTGTGTTACTTACCTCTGCCTTGACGGTTTAGCCGATGTTCGGGTCTTAACCACGGTTCGTGTTTCATTTTAGTTCCTATGATTAACGGATTGAGGGAAATGCCTAAACACTGGTGCTAACTATTGTTATCCCCTAGCTGCTATATTTTATTTGATCTTATAGCGATTAAGGGGATGACTTTAAAGGTCACCCTATCAACGATCGAAATAACCAATTAAGCTTCTTCATTTCGTCTGGAAAGGTAGATTTTCTGGTGACTTTAAAGGCCACTTTAGCAAATGCTGAAATAACCAATCGGGTTTTAGTATTTCTGCTGGGAAGGTAGTTTTTCTCAGAATAAAGAAATATAATTGGTTATTTCAGTTGTTGTTAGGGTGGTCTTTAAGGTCAATCCCATTAACGTCACATCAGCTGATTCAGTGTGAAGGCAAATTTAGATGGCTATTCTGTATGAAGGGCAACCGAAATTCATTGGCTGGGGTTCTTAAACCTTCTGACTACCGATACATGTTGTAACATCCAATAAATTGAAGCGAGATAGAGAAAAAGATGTTTTCAATATAAGTTTATACCTCTGCCATTGATTGTGAAATATGCTGCCTACACTCTTGAAGTGCTGAACTAGTCTTTCTGACTGAGCCTGCTCTGTACGACTCAAGTTAAGTGACCTCCTCCAACCTTATTGGACTTCACTTTACATTGTATTTTGGAGTAGATAGTGTCCTGACATATCTGCGGCCGAAATGGGAAGTCTTGACTGGGTAGCCAGTGTGGGTACGATCGAGCAGTAGTAACGCGTCACGAGTTCACATAGCAGTCGAGTCTCGTAGGTGAGTAAGCAGAACACCAGGCCGGGAACCCCGTCGTCTCTGGTTTGAGTCCTCCCGGGGCCCGATTTTTCATCTCACTTTCAATCATCTTCCAGTATTAATATTCATTTCTCACTTATATCTCAACAATTCCTAGTGTATATAAGAACTAATGTGTAGCTGTGGATCACTTACATGATTTGCAACCGATATGTCACGAATTCGGTTTCAGGTCCACATACTAAGGTTCAACCTACTATCATTAACCCCGACATAATAGGTGTGGCTCATTGTCTACTTTACGGATGTGCACACAATTGCTGAAATTACTTCAATTTCGTTATTAGAACACTACTACACAAAAGTACTTATGTAGAACTGAAGTAGAATTATCAATGAACTTCCGTAAACTGATTTACAGTAAGCAATTTTCATTTCAATTTATCATTCTTATTCTACTGTGAAATATTTAGGGTTCAAATATTCGTTTGAGTTCAGTACAAGCATTATTGGCGTGTTCCACTGTTCCAATTTGGGATACATCATTGGATAATCCTAAGAATTGTTATTCATTGGCTAATTCAGTACTACCGCATTGGATTATAATTTGGTTACTGTACCAGGCAACACGTGAAATTAACTTATTGTCAACAGGAATACAAAAATTAAATCAATTGTTTGACTTGATACTCACATCTGCACTGCATCCATTCGAGCCAAATGTTCTTCAGTCCACTTTGATACCAGATACTTTAGGAGGTTATTTTCTCAATGGGATTTTGATTCCAATTTCTGGGTATGCTTTTTCTCTTTCATTAATCATCTTAAAATTAACTTAATAGATGAAGTTGTTCACCCACCAAGCGTAAGGTATTACTTCCGAAAATATGTCGATTCACATTCAATCCCCCCTCCACCCCATTAGTATATTGAACTGGTAAATAAACATACACATTATCGTTTGAAATTTTCCATTTATCGATGTGTACATTTCTGCTACAATCTGGTTCACCTGTCTTGGCGTGCTGGCTGCTTTTTTGGAAGTCTCGATTTTGTTAGAAGTTTCAGTGAGTTACTTATTTAATGTTGGGGGTTGGGGGGGGGGGCTAACGGTCGAGTTTAGAAAGTTGCTTTCAACCTGTTCGGTGCTCTGTAGCCCGATGTACCTGCATCCTAGTTTATGGGCGTTTCCAATGACCCAGTGCTTAGAACTTCAAATGCCAGAATGTTAGTCACTTAGTTATGGGAGCCATCACTTGCTGCAAGACTACTAGTTGTTATGTCGACTATTACATTCCTGAATAAAACAACAACAAAGACATTTATAGGATAAGATGAGCTCATCTTATTTCACGGCCTTTCATCAGCTGCGAACAGCCTACAATCGAAAGAATTATTAGTAATAGTAATGATATAACATACTTTAAACATGTCTAAATAAGTGATGGTCCGAAATCCAGGATTAACATTAAGGCAGTGAGTCGTGGAAATATATGATTAATAATCATAAATCTTAGTCAAAGTCAATGGCAATTTATATCTGATTAGATGGGAAATTCTAGAGCTGTGGAAGGGTGCGACAACAAACAGGAGTGTAGAAGAAGCGGTTGTCAGAGAGCTAGTAGTATATGTAAGTATATGAAGGAAAAAACTGGGAAACGTTAGGCTGATTGATTAACAGTCAGTAAGTAATTAATGAAGAAATGCTGCGATCAAAAACAGGGAAAGCGATGTACATATATATGCAAAAAATCATATACATTTACCAGCGTAAGTAAAAGTTAATTGCAGTCTCTTTCTGAGTATACAGGTCAGGTTGAAAATATTTGATGGCAAGAACTTCCAAATACCGCAGTAAATATGGCGTTCCTTGTTTGTCGATTATCCTGAAAGGTTGAGAAACATTTATTTGATATCTTGTTTCTATCAGGTGTCTGACGATTGCTCTGGTAAACACGTTGCTACCTTTAAGACAGACTTCTCAAAATATGCTCATCAAATTGAGTAGACGACCTTCTTTCGATCCTTCCTATGTACATATTTGCACAGGAATGGGTGAATCGATATACACAGTTGGAGATGACGTGATCTGTGTACTTACCTACTTTCGACTGTGTTACTGATGATGCCGTAGTGTAAACTGAGATCAGTCTGGCAGGAAGGAAGCTTCTTCTCAGTACACCTTTTAATCATCCGTCTATTCTTTCAGATATCTCATCTCCTTTGGATGCTAAAAGAAAGAAAACAGGTTTTTTCTCAACAGTCAGGTGTTTAAGTCTCAATAAATTTTTTTCCACGTTTCATGATGAACTTCCTGGGATATAAGGATCTTCTCAATGACAACGAATTCTCCTTCCTCTCTGTCTTTCGAACAAAACGTTCTTATTTTAGTGAAGAGCATCCTGATCGTACCACTCTTGTAGCTGACTGGACAGAAACTATTGAAGTGAAGGTACTGACCAATCCACGAGTCTTTCCTGTGGGTGGTTTTCTCAAATGTACCGCCACATCTCCGTCTTATACTCAGATCCGAAAAATGGAATATGTTCACACTTTCGTATTCCATTGTGAAATTTATATTTGGATGAGCTTGGTTGAAGGTATTGAACAACTTTGACGCATGATTGATATTATCGCAGACGATGAAAGTGTCATTGATATACCTGCGGTAAAATGTCGTTTCGTTGATTGCAAAGTTCAGACATGTTTATGATGGATCGTGGCTAGCAGTGGAATCCAGGATGCGCATTTCGTCCTATTTGGGACTCATCAGCTGGATGTACCTGCTTCCCAGTGAGTGATGTTCCCACCGGGATTAGACAAAATGCGTATCCTGGATTCCACTGCTAGCCACGATCCATCATTAGCATAATTAAAACGCTGGCAATATCGAGGCATTTGCACAGAAGCCCATATGCTAATAGAGACCGATCAATTCGGTCCAATCGACGACGGTATCATATAAAAACGATTATACTTCAGACGTGTTTGTTTGAGATGAGCGACAAATATATCAGGCGGGATAGGTACTAGTTCTGAACGCATATGGACTCCATAAGTTTACCAGTATAACTGATTATTAAACTGGTCTTAAATACCTTTTTTACAGTGGAGCAGTAGTTGTTTGTCTTCTGTTTTCGGTGATGGGGTTAGGTCATACCGTCGACGGATTATTTTTTATCGTTTCACCCACTGGTATGTTCGTAAATAGTTAGGAGAGTCATCAAATGATGCCATGAATTTATCTGAGCTTTCCAGTCAGTCCAGATCCTGAGAGATTTGGAATATATCCTTTAAGCTGGGATTCACAAACCTTTTTCTGATGATTTCCAATTTCTCTGCCCACCAATGAGCCAACTTATGACAAGGTGAATTTATCATAGAATAATAAATCTATTTTTATTTATGTATAGTGTATCTGCATCTTTCTTCCGTATATGTGTTTACAGATCACTGTGTGTTTAACACACATATTATTTCTTGGTGATTCAGTCCCAGAATTTCTTGGCAACTGGTTACGCATCAAATTGGATCCAATTTTTTCATATGCTGTGCTTATTTCAAATGAAACTTCACTAGAAATTGACAGTACAGATAAACAAGGATCTGTATCTCAACCAATGAAGTTGATAAATCTTCTGCTTAGTTTAAGTTTAATTTCAGTGCCCATTCCACCACAATTTCCTCTAGAACAACAAAAATCTTCAACCAGTAGTCATCCAACATGTGATATGAGTATGGACCGACCTTTGAGATATCCACATCCTCCTTCGAAAGGTTTCAATTATGGTGCGCCTGTCCCATTTCGTCCACCTTGTGGGTCGAATGAACGAGAATGTGCACCAATGTTACCTCGCTGTAAGTTTATGTTTTATACGAACTCTTGTGTTAACTTTTCCTGTTTAAAAATAGCAGCTTATTAGAAATAAAATATAAAAACTTCATTTGTCGCTATTATTTTCTTCTCAAAAATAGTCAACATGCCAATGCCGCCAAGGAATATGAATCCAATGTTACCAACCCTTGTCATATGACTCTTCCATCCAATAATATTAACATGATGATGAATTCTGGCCCACCAACAGGGCAACCAAATTTTATGCCGTTTCGATCTAATTTTCCACGACAATTTGAAGCGCCTATTCGCCGACCACCATTACTTCAAGTCCCGCTCAATAATGTCCAACCTATTCGTCCCTCTGTAAATGACTCCTATCCGCCTATTACAACTGTTGGTGTGTTGTTGTTCAGTGAACGTCAGTCAAACAATACTTGTCTTCCAACTGGTCGTCAGCCTACTTCTCTTGTATGGATACTCAGTCTAGTTAGGCGAATTAAAGTTGTTACCATGTCCATTGTTATCGACAAGTTTGTATCACTTACACCACATCAACTGTTTATTTTATTACGAAACCAACATGATTTAAACCAACAAACTGCACTCAGTCTGTTTCATCTTTTAGTCAAAGCTATCCTTCAAGCACCAGGTGAGTGTATTTGTCTTCTTCACATCCTGCAACTTTTAACAAAAAACATAGATAAATACACTGAGTTAACTGGTAGTGCTCACTAAAAATTGCAGCTATCGAAATCATTGCACTAACAAGTAGTCCGTAGTGGTCTGAGGTTTGTTAGTGTCCACCTAGTGGTTTTCCGCTCACGTATAGTAGAATCACTGTATGAACGATGCTGAGATTAGGCAAATAGTACCAGGCAAGTCGATTAACGAGGTTGTAAACCTTCATCAGTGGGGCGTCTTGGACATGTACTGCGCATACCGAGCCGCTACCTACATCGACGTGGGATGCTAGGGGAAGTTCGAAGAGGATTCAGGGTGGCCAGACCAAGAGGCAGCAGCAGTTCATGAGGTCTCTATCTGTTGGTCTGAATCGTATAGGGAGGTGTAGACTGTCTGGTTGATGTCCTTGAGATCTTTCGGTGGTATAGCTTAAAATTGGTCACAATGGCTTAAATAATAGTATTAATCTCTATCTTCAAATTGTTTATTCTCCCACACAGCCTTGTCTATTTCGATATTAGTCTCTTTCTATCCACTTGTTCTTTGTTTGCCACTATGAAGTGTGTTTCTATCTGTCTAGTGATTGTCCAGTGTTGTGTATGCTCATTGTAATGTAGATTTATATGCATTTACTGACCATATCTCATGTTTATATACTCTATATCTAATCGTGGAACTGTTATTCTTATCAAAAGATTCTCATACGCCTATATATTCATAGTCCCCTACCAAACGAGTCCGATTGAGTACCTTCACGTGGACAGGAAATGAAACAGTGAGAGTTAGTATTTGATGTTATAGCGCATCAATCTCCATCTGCATGGGAGCTGATATCCTAATATTGGCCGATCATTTCGGTATAGTCAACGACGGAGATTCCCAAGCTATGACACCTAAGTTTATACTATACCCGTCGCACAAAGAATGCGTATTGTGACTTAGTGGCCTGGTGCACAACTCTGTGTCATTCGAAGCGACTGGTTCTAAATTCGAGTCCTAGTGGGAACAACATCACTCACTGGGAGGCAGGTACATCCATCTGACGAGACGTGCAATTTTACTACCAGAGTTTATCTCATACTCATTTTCAAAATGTTTTCCTGCATCATATATCATCCTAGTATAATAGAATTTATAACTTTTTTTTCGGTTTTGCAATTTTTCCTTAGTTGGCTCAAATACTGAACGGTTATTAGCCTATTTGATGGATATTTGTGAGACAGAATTACCTCGATCAGATCACACACCTACAGTTACATCCATTGTGTGCACATCAACTGCTTCTGTTATTACTAATGCCGAGGGAACATATTGTTCTGATGCAAAAAACCTAAACTGAATTCAGATGATCTGCAACAACATAATCGTCAGCAAAACCAACCACTACCTCATCGTCAACAACAGTCTAAATTGGAATATGATGACTTCTTGAACAGTTTCTTGTTATATTGTCGAGAAATTTTAAGGGTATTATGCGAGACTGCAATTTGTTTGATATATTCGTAAGCATCTTCCTTTTTTCTTTGTTTAGCCTATTATGGTGATTAATTTTTTTTAATAGTTGAGATGTTTTGTTCTTTTTGTTGTTGTTGTACAACCAGTCAACTAAGTACTTGTCGTTTAATCCATTTTATCTACTTCGGTTTTGTGCAATCGAATGCTAACATATATGAAAAACTATGTATAGGTTTGTTTAACAGGTAGAGTCATGTCTATTGTTTCAGATCTAAAAGCGCTGTGGTTCATTAGTCTAAGCATTTAACTTTCAATCACTGGCTCGTCGGCTTGAAACCCACAGTGACCTACCAAGGTTTGGGCAATCAGTTTGTATTACAGTCCTCACACAATAGATTTGGTTAATCACTTAATGCATGGTTCTGCATGTGGACACTGAGTTACATTTAATTACATTCAGTAGTTGTATCTTGTGACCTTCGCATGAACAAGTGGGATTGACGTTTAAACTCCACTAATCCATTAACGCTTGAGGCTAAAACATTCAACCCAATAACGGAACAAGTGCACTGTGAGCTTAGTGGTTACTGATTGATATCTTTTTCTTTCCTTCCCTTATATTCATTCACCAATAGTCATTCGTTGAATATCATTCTCTTCCCACTTAAATTTTTGCATACGATACGATCTTAAGTAATGATTCGTATTCCTCAACAGCTCTTCTAGGAACGCTGAGCCATCTGCATTTCTTTTTACTTAACAGAATTTTTGATTATGAAACTGTTAAGATGTGCAAAATTTTCTCTTTAGATCCCTGGAAATCATCATCATCATCATTATCAACATAGGACCAGGCATTACTGCGTAACGGTCCGAGTTGCCACACCTCATATCAGCACATCAAGTAAAAGGTAGTGAGGTGAAGGATGAAGATAAGTGAATGCAGTCAAAAGAAATATAAAGTACGAGAAGAAAGGAAAGAGGAGTGACAAAATAGTGAGATTCGGTATAGCGTTGTTAAGATGAGGATAATGTGTGTATACATCTGCGCCACTGACTTCGGTTCTGAGCCATATCACCTAGGGTCTCCAACCACTGGTTCCTCTTGTCCCGTGGACCCCAACCACCTAGTCTGCATCGTCCTACATGGCTTAAACCAACAGTCAGAGACTTCATACATTGGTGCCATGTTTTAGTCTGGCCACCTCGGGCCTTTTTCCAGCCTGAACCCACCTCAGCCAACATTGTGTGACGAGGCAATCGGTGACTAGGCATACGTAGTACGTGTCCCAACCATCTCAGTCGATGAAGGTTCACAACCTCGTCGACTGACTTACCTCTTCTCCCTAAAACTCTACACCTAACTTCTGCATTACTCACATGGTGACACCACGGAATACGTCCTATACTACGAAGGCAACGGTGGTCAAATACCTGTAACCTTCTCATGTCTTCCACTTTCAATGGCCATGTTTCACAGCCATACAGTAGAACAGAGCGGACTGCTGTGCAGTACACGCGACCCTTAATAGACAAACGAATATCACGGCGGCGCCATAGGTGGCGCAAATTGGCAAAAGCCAATCGAGCCTTTTGTATCCGTGCAGAAATCTCATCGGCAACTAACCCACCGGGTTGATCCTACTTCCCAGGTAAGTGAAGTGGTCAACACACTCAACCACTTCACTCTCTATTGTTAACCGCGGTACCGCTGAAGACCAGTCCTGGAGCAAAAATTTGCATTTGGGTGGTGAAAATCGCATCCCAAACATTCTCAAATTCCCACTCAAAGTGTTCAGAAGACTCTGCATCTTGTCAGCGTCTTCACCTAACAGGACTATGTCATCTGCATATTCTAGATCTAAGGAAAATTCACCTGTGATCCGGTCAACGTCTTTGTAATTAGGTGACGAGAGGGAAACCTCCATAAGAATATCTATGATAAAATTAAATAAGAATGGGGATAGTGGGCATCCTTGACGGACACCACTTGATGAGTATAGCTCCCTGGACAACTCACCATAGGCTCTAACATGCCCACAAGTGTTCGAGTAGAGAGCTTTCAATAAGGTGATGTACTTACTAGGCACGCCTTTCAGTGACAGACACTGCCATAAGACTTCTCGATCAACGGAGTCAAATGCCGCCTTCAGGTCGAGAAATACAGCTATTGTCGGGCGTCTGTAAGCATGCCTATGTTCCAGGACCTGGCGCAGTGTGAATATTTGGTCGATACATCCACGGCCAGGTCTAAAGCCTGCCTGGTTTTCTCGGGCTTGCTGTTCCCGAGCTCCACTCAGGCGTCGGAGAATTATAGAACTTAGGATCTTAGACACTATGTTTGTCAGGCTGATTCCTCTGTGGTTATCACAAGAGGACTTCTCGCCTTTCTTGAAGACTGGGATGATCAGTGACTTAGACCAGTCGGAGGGTATTGTATTTGATTCCCTGGAAAAGTCAGAAATCACCAAATACACTCAGAACCAATCAGATCTAGCCAGAATTTCTCAGGTAATTGCAAAACCATTCGTGTAAACGCCTGATTATCTATGTCGGCTACTTTCTAGAATGCTGGAGAAAGCATCACAGTTGGTTGGTTACAGACAATCTGTAGGAAGCCCTGGACCCTAGGTTTCATGCTTGTTGGGAATCGTCAGCAAGGGGTATCGATAGAATTCGGTCAGCACTCAGGACTAGACAATATGAAATTGGTTGCTTTCCACTGATCAATCAATGTACAAACATGCGAGTGAAAAAGAATATTTTTTTCGATAACTTCTTCAACTCCTATAGTTATATGTGCTCACCCCTAGGTCTCATATTCGCCGACCTTTTTCTATCGAAGCTAGAGAATGGTTTGCTCTAACGATCTATCAAAGAAATTTTCATTTTACTGTCGGTATACAGATGATGCATTCATCCTGTGCGAAAACAACATAGACAGACCAAAGATATTCCGCAGATTCAGTGCAGAACACTCAGCGATGAAGTTTACATCTGAGGAAGAGTCAGACGGCAAGATTGCTTTTCTTGATGTTTTCTCAAGAGGAATCTATTTAGAAAAAGAATAGGGCAATACACATATTTTTTCAGCTTCATTCGCCTTCACTACAAATCGAAATTTACTAAAAAGCTCCAAGTTAAAGAATAAAGGCTATATATTCGGAAGACAGTGGAGTAGGCACTAACAACTTTGCGCCACTCACTTATCGAAAGTGCTTTCCTGATTAATTTATAAAGAAACGTATGATTACAAAAATGGCAAAATAGGATGTACCAATGGCTAGCGAGAAATAATTTAGAGGTAGCGTGCTTAGCGGGATATTAATTCTTAAACTGTGCAATCAATTCAGAGAACTTCTAATGCTGGTAAATTGCAAATTTCGTTTTCCACACACCCAATGGTGACACCAAAACTAAGTGATGGGTTGCCTAGACTGGCTGTTTCCTCTTGTGTTTATCAGTTCGACTGCTCATGTAGAGGCACTTATGTAGGCCGCTGCTCTATGAATTTCATATTCCCTGCCCCAGACACCTTCCAGCGTGATTAAATAAGATTGTAATAAAAGCCATTAGCAGCTCCTGGCAGCGACACCAAACCTCGCCTGGTTAACTAGTTTACTAGTTACTAGCCCGTCCTAAGCCCGGGTAAAGAGGGAAGGTTGGGCATAGGGCTAGCAACCCTACCCCGTAAAACAAATCTAACCGCTAAAGAAACTTCAAAGCACAAACAAAATATAAAAAATGAAAACAAACTTATTCCCCGCTGGAATCGGAGAGGCGAAATGACGCCAGTTGGTGAAAGCCTTCGGGAAGCCAATTGGCCGATGTGTCTTCCCTCTCTCGATGAAAGCGAAAGTAAACGTGGGGACATGGAATGTCCGTACGATGTTTGAACCCAGTAAGGCAGCCCAGATTGCAAAGGAGATGAGAAGGTATAACATCGAAGTGCTTGGGATTTGCGAAAGCAGATGGAATGGGAGTGGACTCTCCAAACTGTCAACTGGAGAATCAATAATCTACTCCGGTCACCCAGACGCCAACCACGAGCACACTGAGTTAAGGAGTGGCTATCATGATGTCCCCAACAGCATTGAAGGCTCTCTCATGCAGTGGGAACCAATCTCCTCCAGGATCATGACAGCAAGATTCAACTCAAAAGGAAGAAAGGTCACAATCATACAATGTTATGCACCTACAAATAATGCAGAGCAAGAGAAAAAGGAGGATTTCTACAGACAACTTCAATCAACACTGGACAAGACGTCAGTTGGCGATATCAAAATTCTGATGGGCGACATGAATGCCAAACTGGGAGGGGACAACACGGGAAGAGAACTAACCATGGGTCGAGAGGCGCTAGGTGAAATGAATGAGAATGGAGAATTGTTTGCAGACTTGTGCGCATTCAACGATTTGGTGATTGGAGGTGAGGCAGTGTGTTCAGGCACAAAGATATCCACAAAGCGACATGGATTTCACCAGACACCAGGACACACTAAAAATCAAATCGACTTTATCTCAATCTCAAGAAAATGGAGACGCAGTCTACTTAAAACAAGGTCAAGAAGAGGAGCAGATGTAGGTTCACACCACTCACTGTCTAGTGCAAGGAACCTTCCAAATCAAGTTAAAAGCCTTCAAGGAAGCTGGTGATAGACCTCAATTCAAGTACAACACTCGGAAACTGAAGGATGAAACTACAAAGGAGATCTTCAAGGCAGCCATCAAGACAAAATGGGAGATATCGAGGAACATCCCTGAAGAAACCTGTGTGGAAGAACACTGGAAGTCTTTGAAAGCTATGTGGAAAGAAACCTGCACAACAGTATTAGGAAGGAAGAAGGTGGAAGACAAGGAATGGATCTCGACGGATACCTGGAAGCTGATAGAGGAGAGGAGGATGGTGAAGCAGAAGATAAACCAGTGCAAGGATGCTCAACGACAAGAGGAACTGAGCACAATGTATAAAACACTGGACAAAGAAGTGAAGAAGAGTGCACGCAAAGACAAAAGACACTTCTACGAAACACTGGCAAGTGAAGCAGAACAGGCTGCAGGTAAGAGAGACCTGACGACATTGTATCAAATAACCAGGTTGCTATCAGGGAAGAGACCAACACAGATGAAACCAATAAAAGATGAAGAAGGAAATTTAATTACAAAAGAAGAGAAACAGAGGAAACGATGGGCCGACCACTTCAAGAAGCTCTTGAATCGACCACCACCTGCACTTCGTCCAGAAATACCACCTGCAGCCGCTGAATTACAAGTGAACATTAATCCCCCAACGAAAATGGAAGTCCTGAACGCCATAAAGCTACTGAAATGCGGGAAAGCAGCAGGACCAGATGGGATACCGCCAGAAGCACTGAGAACAGATGCAGAGACAACAGCGGCCATGCTCACACCACTATTGCAGAAGGTGTGGAAGGAAGAGAAGGTACCTGCGAGTGATTGGAAGAAGGGTTACCTTGTCAAACTGCCGAAGAAAGGAGACCTCAGTGTTTGCAAGAACTGGCGCGGAATCACTCTCCTGTCCACCCCAAGTAAAATATTAAGCCGCATCATCCTAGAGAGGCTTAAAGACGCACTGGATTCAAAACTGCGACCGGAACAGGCAGGCTTCAGGAAGTACAAATCATGTGCAGACCAAATTGCAACGCTTCGTATCATCATAGAACAGAGCATAGAATGGCAATCAGCTCTCTACCTCAACTTCATCGACTTTGAGAAGGCCTTTGACAGCGTCGACCGAGAAGTAATTTGGAAACTGCTTCAATACTACGGAGTACCGCAAACCTTTATCCGCCTCATTCAACAACTATATGAAGATGCCACATGCCAAGTAATTCACAATGGAAAGCTCAGTGATGCCTTTGAAGTGAAGACAGGAGTGAAACAAGGTTGCCTACTATCCCCCATGATATTCCTTATTGTGGTGGACTGGATCATGCAGCAAACAGTGGGCAGCGAGAAGAGAGGGGTACACTGGACGGCGGAAAAGAACCTAGAAGACTTGGATTTCGCCGATGACTTGTGCCTAATGTCACATAAACTTGAAGATCTGCAGGCAAAAACTAACAAGTTGATAGAAGAGGCAGCGAAGACGGGACTTCCGGTGAATATAGAGAAGACAGAGGTGATGAAGATACCGCACCACCACCATCAACAACAACAACAAACTCCAATCACCGTCAACGGGAGAAACTTGAAGGAAGTAACCTCCTTCACTTATCTAGGAAGCACTGTTTCAACTACAGGCGGGACGGACGAGGACGTCAAAGTCAGAATCGGAAAAGCAAGACAGGCATTCATTAGCCTGAAACCAGTGTGGAGATCTTCTGCACTCAGCATGCGGAACAAGATACGGATTTTCAACACCAACGTCAAGTCAGTGCTCTTGTATGGTTCAGAGACTTGGCGCGTCACGAAAGGGATTTCCAATAAACTACAGACATTCATCAACAACTGCTTACGCTCGCTGCTGAAGATCAGATGGGCCAGAAAGAATAAGCAACAAGGAACTCTGGGAACGAACCAACCAAGAACCTATCACGCAACAAATATGCAGGAAGAAGTGGAGATGGATTGGCCATGCACTGAGAAGGCCGACGGAGGACATCACGCGTCAGGCCAGTCCCTCGAGTGGAATCCCCATGGGAAGCGACGAGTTGGACGTCCGAGGGTGACATGGAGGAGGTCGTGCGAGGAGGAAATGAGAGGTTGTGGGCTGTCATGGGACCAGGTTGAAAAGATCTCAGAGAACAGAGGTCACTGGAGGCGTGCTACTGAAGCCCTATGTTCCACTAGGAACCCAAGGGACTAATATATATATATAGCTCCATATTAACACAATTGGTTGGAAAGAACTATAAAGTGGATATGAGTGAGTCGTTTTCAATTGTGTACCATGCTCCCATCAACTTGCCAAAAGGTACTCGGCTCAGTATCCTTCAATCTGCAGAAGTAGTAGCAATCAAGATCAAACAACCCGAGTTGTATGTTAGAGAGAAACAAGTGTTACCTTTACAACCACTGTGACCCGATTCGGAGTGCACAAATTTGTAAGCATCCTGCCCCAGATAGTCAAACTGCATATTGTAGATATCATTTCGTCCCCATAATCTGAAACTGTTTTAACACATTCTCCTAACCTATTTTGTCCTCTAACAATGGTAACTTTCTATCATGTTATTATTCCTCACATCTTCCTTCGTAGTTTGTTTCATCTAGCTGTCATAAGCACCTTCCTATTGTTTTATTAAATTATCACCTTATAGTGTTACACAAGCCGTATAATCGACTAGATAATCAACTATTTTGGTGAATTGAATCCCTGTAGCAATTGATTCTATCATTCAAGTTCACATCAGACTTTTGTGAATTGACTTCCCCAACTGTATAGTGGTATTAACAAACTGATAGGCAAAATTTTAATATTGTTGACGCTAAATTCTTCAATAGGTAAATATAACTGTAGGATCTGAAGAAGTTATCGAGATGAATATTCTTTGTTCACTCAAATGGCTTTCAAATTATAATGAATTATATATATATATATATATATATATATATATATATATATATATATATATATATATATATATATGTTGGTTAAATTTTCCTTGCGTTCGTTCTTTCTTGAGTGGAATGAGTTAGTAGGTGGAAGGATACCTCATTATATGAGGTAACATCCCTTTGTCGATTACTTTTTGTGTTTCTAATTTTTACTTCAATTTCATGTTAGCTGGTGTGCACCCTTGTGCTCCAGGGGAAAAAAGATGACCAATGATTAACGAAAGCTGGTGTCGAAGAAGTATTTTAACGAGCGTATGTCTAATTATAATCTTTTCATTCTAATGTTTGAAGATATCTAGCAACTGTTAATCGGTGAATGTTGGTTAGGTTGAGAGAAAACTTAAGAGTGGTCTGAGAATGTGTATCAGCAATCCATGAGTCAGTAACAGTTTTTGTTGTGAAGGGGAGTTTAAGCTGTTCAGCTGAAGTCCTCCGGATATTAGTTGGAGTACCTGATTGATATGACCTGATATTGATCGCACTCATATAGAGACACTGACTTTCCTCATATTCTTTTTGTTTATCTTGACATCTTCCTACTTTTGTTAGTTGCGTTTCTGTACCATTTCTTCGTGTGGCATTATTGACTAATATTCTTCGTTATTCTTTGTTGGTTTTTTCTCCAAAGAGTAAAAGTAATCCCACTCGACGAGTTCTTGATGGCCCTGAGGATCACAAAAAATCTTAATATACTCAGCAACCATCTGCAAACTCATGCAGTAAGCCATGAGCTATACTTTTCGTCTGAGGGTCAGTGATACTACCTAGCTGCTCCAGACTTCGGTGGGTGAGGTAGGTGGTTTAGAACCTGTGATCCATTGGTTGAAGGTCAGCTGCTTCAACCAGTGATCCACACTTCGCTTAGAATAGTATCTACAATTGACTTACAGTAGATTATAATCCAGTATCGATTGTTTCGTTATTTTTTCAATTCCGCGTTTTTTTTGTCTGATTTGTATAGATCGTCTGAAACATCGGATTTGTTAGATCATGGCGGTTGTGAAGGTTTTCTACGTGCAATACAACAATTAGCCAGTCGTCCGCCTCCTTTAACTTTGTACAGCACAACTAATGTTGCTCTTGATAGAAATACCTCTGCTATGAGTAATGATAAAGTGGATCTTAAATGGATGTTATTATCAAATTCCAAATCGTGTTTATTTGAAAAGTTGATCAGCTCTAATGCTTTACAAAGTAGTTCATGTGCTCAATTGATTTTAAGCTTGGGAATGACACTGGAGCCGAGTTTACTTGAACATCTATTGTGTAAGTATACTTTACGTGATTATATATTTATACTTTGATGTTGGTTATTTCCTGTTTGGTATGATATGATGTAATGATCTAGATTGCCAACGATTTGGTCACCGACACAAGTTAACCTCGTCTGCTTCTTCGGATTTGGGAGAAGGAAAATGTCGTCAAACATTATAAACACTAAGTTAACTTTTAGTTACAGGTTCGAAGTTGTGTACTTAAAAATGCTTGAAACTTCTAAAAGAGGCGTTAACTTTCATAAGAATGGGTTGGAACTCATAACCCGGTTCACAAATTCTCACTTGATTTTTGTATTATTGTATGTTTAATTTGCCTTAAACAAGTTTTATATGCTTCTACTGTAAGCTCAACTTTGCATTCAGTTGTTCACTGTTTATAAACTTATTACTTCAGTAGTCTAATCTTTGAAGTAACAGACAGAATCGACGTAGAACGTCGTATACAAATGCATTGGTTCAAGTTGTCACACTTCACAGTAGTATACAAAGAACAAGTGATATCAAAGTAGACAAAGTTGTGTGAGAGAATAAACAATTCGAAGATGAAGGTTAGTGCAAATATTCAAGCTTTAGAAGATGTCAAGGAGTGTGCTATTATGACTGATTTTTAGCAACATCATCAAGAGTCTTCAACCATTGATTCCTTTCATCTAGGATACCCTAGCCAGGCAGTCTACATCTTCCATCATGGTTCAGATTAACAGACAGGGGCTTCATGCACTACTGCCGCCTCTTGGTCTGGCCACCCTAAATCCTCTTCCAACTTAATCCAACTTCTCCTAGCATCATACGTTGACGTAGGTGGCGGCTCGGCATGCGTAGTACATGTCCAAGCCGCCTCCATCAATGAAGGTTTACAACCTCGTTAATCGACTTGCCTGTCTTGTCTGGTAACCTTCGCCTAACCTCAACATTGCTCACATAGGGATTCCACCAATCGTTAGCAGTGCTTTAAAGACACCTATGATCCAAACACTTTTAACCGCTTCATATCTCCTACTTTTAATGACCATATCTCATAACTTTATAACAGGATGGAACGGACTGCAGCTCAATATACTTGTCCTTTTTACAGGTAGTCGGATATCTCGTCAGTCAGCACCATAGATGGCAAACGAACCTTTTGCATATGAGGTAAGATTTCACCAGCAACCAGAGTGGTCGGGCTGATGCAACTCCTCGAGAAAGTGCAGTGTTCGACACGTTCCACCACTTCACTCCCTATCAATAAGGTTGGAGCACTTGCAGCAGACCAGTCATGCCTGGAGCATCATCTCACATTTGACAGGTGCCAGCTAAACGCATGCAAAACACACTCAGATTTCTGATCGATGCATCCAGAAGACCGTGCATTTTGTCAGCGTCTTCAATCAACAGGATGCTATCGTCTCCATACCAGATGACCTCCATGGAGTAGATCAATCCTTCAAAGTCATATATACCTAAGGTTATGTCCATTAGTACATGTGTGACGAAGGTAAACAAGAATGGTGACACTAGGCATTCCTGGAGGTTGGCACTAGTTGTGGTCAGTCCACATGACAACTCTCTATAAGCCTTAACACAGCTGCATGAGTTCGAGTAGAGAGTTTTGGTTAGCGTTATATACTCGCTCGGTGCTCCGTTCTTAGTCAAACACTGCCACAACACCTGAAGGTCGACAGTGTCAAATTTGGCCTTCAGACTAAGAAATATGGCGTGTTGGTCATTGACCAGTAAGTATTCTTGTGTTCCAGAACCTGTCGTAGGGTGAAAATATGATCCATGCACCCTCCTTGAGGTCTGAAACCTACCTGGTTTTCTCCAGCTCACGGTTCTCGAGTACCAGTTAGGCATCGGACAACTATAGCTCCCAGGATCTTAGACACAACAATCAAACTAATTTCCCTATGGTTGTTGCAGGAAAATGTCGCTCACTTATTGCAGACTAGGATAATCAGTGAAGTTCACCAGCCTGATCGCACTACCTCCGATTCCCATGCACTTCCTAGTACCTCCGTCACTTTAAGCAGCAATTTCGTACCTCCATCCTTGAAAACTTCGGATGGCAAACTACCACGTCCTGCAACTTTGCATCGTTTCAGGTTCAATACAGCCTGCTCAACGTCAAGAAGAGTTTGAGGACCGATATCTATGTCCCATTCAGGTTCAAGCTGAATGTTAGGCAAGTGAAGTGTTGCTGAGAGATAGTTGAACTGTGCTTCAAAGTGTTGTGCCCAACGTTCTAACCGCCTGTTCTAGGCGGTTGTCGTTTTCGGTAATGATTTCACTCACCATTTTCTTTTTACTGGTATCGTTTTTTTAATTAGCCTGACTGGATGCCGAGTGTTACTCAAAGCCGATGCCTTCTCCATCTCTCTCGACACCCACCACTACTCATGATCATTGCGAAGACTTGGTCAATTTACTTTTGAGTTGCCTTCGCTCTTCATCGTGGTCAGAACCAGCTGGAATCTGTCTTCTCGCATCAGTCAGTTCAGATGACGCTATGAGAATGCAATGACGTTTGGAAAATAGATCGGATAGACTTCGATAAGTCCTAAGCACTAAGAACCAGACATCTAAAGTTAGCTTTCGATGATCAATTCGTTTACGAGTCAGTTGTTTAAATGTCCTCTAGAGTGCTCTTTACTGTCAGTGAAACACGACAATCTCTATTTACTAGTGTAGAAAGTCAAACCACATTGAAGTGCTTCTCATGCATCGTGACAAATACCATCTTACCTTTAGCTTATTATCATTGCGTAAATAACTCAATATTTCGTAATCATACGGTTTTTCTAGACTATCCGTCGTCTATGAAAGTATTGGGGTTAAGCAGTGTGTAACTTTAGTAGTCCTAATGTATAGAGGATCAGATTTAACTTTCAAAAACGTGTTTTCACAGTAGTTTTTATAATAGGATTTTACCCTCATATTCGCTTTTATATATTCCTATATTTCACTGTCTAGTCTACTTATGCTGTTGGAAGTCTCAAACAAAGAAAATCAATTCAGACACCAGTTCATTTACATCACCAGAATCAACCAGGTTGACAGCATCAGATTCACCATCACAACAATTCACTTACTGTCCATTAATATTATTCTTTCCAATATTGAGTGAAATACAATCGATTTGGATAGCTAGAACATCGTGTAAACCACCATCATTGACGGCAACTTCAGCAACATCCTCCGCTACTGTTACTGCAGGGGGATCAACAATAATGCCGACTAGTATTACTTTCATTCATTCGTCAATTTTTCCAGTAATGTCAGTTCGTAGTAAATATTTATCAATGAATAGTCATCGAAATGACACATCAAATTACAATAACTACAGTGGCAGTGGCAGCAACAATAATAATACTTCCTTATCTTTAATATCACCAAATGGTCTATTGTATATTCAGCAACTACTCGCTAACAAATTCTTCCCTCTTCTATGGTCCAATATAGAAATAGCAATGTTGAACTGCGTACTAGTCTTTTACGCAATCTTCTTTGGCTAGTATATAAAGAATACGCCCTGATAGAGAAGAATACTGCTCATCCACGTATCCTATTCGCCTTAGCTGCACAGTTAGATGAAATTGTGGCAATGATGCTTAAAACTTTTGATACCGAGGTTAGATTTCTTTCTTATTTTGTTGTAATTATTATTATTATTAGTACTATAATACTACTAGTGTTTTTGATTAATAGGATTTTTGAAACTGCGCAATTTGATTGTATTACAATGAACCAAAGAAATGAAAATAGAAATCTTAGATAAACATTATTAGGCGTGTTATTTATTCTACCACATTTTACTCAGGACTTATTTTATAATTTCATTGTATAGTTCAGTTAGAGACCTTTCTATTGATCCCTTACCCAATTCGTGCAACTTATGGTTGGGAAGTAATTACATTCTATGTGAAATCGGTCATTGTGGATTATCTGAATTCCGATTGGCTCTAAAAGGCCATCCTAACAAGTATCTTTATAATCAGAACAGAGAAACCTCTTATTAGTTAATTCTGCAGTTGCCAGAGTGACCTTTGGAGCTATACCCAAGTTCCTGTGTATGCTTTTCATGAATTATATTGTGTGACTAAGATCGCACGGATACCTTTTGTTTTCTACTGTATGTTAGGATGGAAGAAGACACAGTTTATGGGTTGCACTCAGTTGAGTGACTCTAAAGGCTACTGTAGCAACAACAGATGTAATCAGTTAAGTTTAGGAAAAACCGCTGTCGTAGTCGAGATGGCGAAACCTGATTGGTTTCTTCAGCAGTTGTTTGGGTGGTTTCTAGATTCATTCATTTAGTTCAGTGAGTTGTCACTCTAGGGGTCGATAAAGCGTAGAACAAGCGCAGCAATATTTAGACAATGAGGTGACAGGAAGTAAACATATGACAGTTTTAGAGTTATACACTTTGTTGTTGTCATATCAAGCATGTGATGTCAATTGAAATCAGTTTTCTGTGAAAACAAACTGGTGATATGATACGTTACCTGTCTTCATTTTTACAAAGTGTAGACCTATATTTCTTGTTTGTTGAAGTTCTTCGATGACGACTACCTGCAATTTCACAAGAAATTATCTTTTCCTTGAAATTCACACTGCCATCACTGCGTACCACAGAACAATATAGGTGTAAAACTTGTTCACTAGTAGGATGTAAGTTCATACTAGATTTATTTGATATATGCACAGTGATATAGTAATATTTACTTGACATTTTGAGCATAAATTATCCCTCATTAAAATCCTACTGTATCACTGGATGATGCTAGATCAAATAAGCGAACCGAATATGAAGTCAACGACCCTCCCACTAAACTATTCGTATAATAACAATGACTTCATCAAGCAGTCTAAATTATTAAATTTGTCACTTAATTGAAGTACGATTGTGAAATGAAGTCTAGTCGGTAGGCTGTGTAACTTAATATCACGGTGGAGTACTCGTGATGTTAGTTGATGACGAATTTCTACCTTCCAGCATATTTCTTATTCAACTCTATAGTTTAAATCTCAATTCATCTACTTCAGCCTGGGAAACTGGGAGCTGTGGCACATTGTATCTAGGCCCTTCATTCCCAACTGATGGGTTATTGGTACACACCCTGCCCCACCTATCGAGGTTTAAGCAGCCAGGTAGTGTTGTTAACCCTCACACAATAAGTGTGAATCATTGCCTACTGTGTAAATGTGCACAAGGCTTCTTAGACGATTTCGAAGCCCTCACACAATTAGTCTAGCTGATTGCGTGATGAATAAACAGCTATACTGGATTCAGTTACATTACTAAGTCTTTGTAATTCAATAAGATTAAGGCAGACACTTCTCATAGAGTGATAAAATGATGAATTTATGTAATTACTACTAAACGAATCATGCGTTGAGTGCAATTTATTAGCCGTATCTGAGGATTTCAAGGGAAGAGTAAAAGCTAACTTTTTAGTGATAATATCTGATCGGTTAAACCTCATACGGATTGCGTGGGTTGACATGTACACATGAATAATAGTTAAAGTCGAAAGGAAACCTGTGTTATGTTATGCTTCACATAGCTTATCATCAGATTTCTAATGTGCATTTATGTGTGTACATGCGCTAAACTCTGCTTTTCTATGTCTGGTTCACCTGTTATTTTAATCTTCACTTCTTTATTAAACATTATGCATTGATGTCTGCTTAAGATAATTTTTCTATTGCACAACTTTTTCACTATAATCGATGACTATATATGTCTTTACTAGTGTATCTGATCGACAAAAATATGCTCTATGAATTCATCCTCTTCACCGTAATTCACCTTCTACTTTACTAGTCTTTTGTGGCTCATTATTTTATGGAGTTGACTTTCAATCACTGGATCACGCGTTCTAACGTCGCCCTACCTACCGATGTTTTGGCAACCAAGTAGTATCATTATCCCTCAAACAATTGGTGTGGTTCATCGCGTATTGCAAAAATGTACACAAGGTTGCTGAATCGATCTCTTCTTCGTACTAGTTTGTCCATCTTAGCAATCCAGTCACGTGATAAAGAAAATTATCGTATTCATTTGGGAAGTTTATGGGGAATTGATTTCTTTCGGAAGTAGTTTTCATTATGGATGGGAATTAGCCGCAGAACTCTGGAAAATAAAGAAGCACTGTGTGCTGTTTCTCCTTATCAGTGTAGAACCCACAATCCTAATAGAAATCAACCAGTCTAATGCTGATTAGCAATTTGGTTTGGAATAAATTTCTTGAAGTTATGAAGAGAAACTGCGACCTGTGAAGTCAACCAACTCGTGTATAAAGGCGTACTGATCGATGACATTTAGTGATAATCGAGCCGTATTGTTAGTTAACAGAATTCAGAAGACGTGAGATACTGAATTCCTATTCCAGTGGTTAAATGACAACGTAATTACCGTGATATATGATGGTCTCTTATTCAGTTTTGTCCTGGTGTGCACTGTCCAGGAGTAGTGGCAAACGAGGAGTTAGTTGTCCAGCGATGCTTCAGCCGATGTCAACTTTGATGAGTAGTTTGAAAATTATCGCCGCTTGTTCACAATTAATGAGAAAGCTCTTCACCTAAGCGCTGTGGTTGTGGATATAGCTGCATAATCCGTGCTTAGACCAACGCCTCAGTTAAACACGTTACCGATGATCTACTCAAGTTCGTATCGAATCAAAATCCACTCAGTAACTTTGTTCACGTTAGTACAGTAGTCAGTGAGTTACAGCTAATGTTATGGAGTCACTAGTATTACCTTTTTGTCCGAACCTGGACAGGTGAAGCTGGATTCGGACCAATGACCCATTGATCGGGAGTCGGCTGCCCAGACCAATGAGCTATAACTGCTGCTCTTGTACTCAGAACTCTGTGAATCAAAGCATAGAATGTAACCAGTCGAAATTGCTCCATCTCCGCAGTGAAAACTGTTTGTACATCTTTGACTTGTTTGTTTTATGTGGATACTTCTTACTGATCAGTTTGAAAATGCGTTGGATATTGTTTATCATAGTTTTTCAAAATATCTCTAACTTTCTTTTTCCAGTGTTTAGATTTATTACTCAGTCTTTGCGAGTGTATATTTTGTTCATTTCAATTTTCATCGTCTATTGATGATTCACTGAATTCTACTAACAACACTGATAACAATGCTTGTAGTTCATCAGTGAAGTTAAGTGGTCCAAGTCAGCATCCTCATCCTCCTGGACGATTTCACCAAGGACATCAAAATTCAGGGCTATGGAAGACAAATATTCCCCTTCTTGGTCGTCATTATCAAACACTCGCTTTTTGCATCTATCACCGGCACAATGTATGAAGTTAGCGCATAGATTTGTTCAGCTGACATCTCAGTTATTCGAGATGATGAATGTTGAATTGAATAATCCCTAGGGATCAACATCATCTCCATGTAGATATTTTTATTTATTTGGTCGTCTGCGTGATCTGTTGAATATGTTATGCTCCAGTGATCAGTTATCAGTTTTTCGGTCAACATTTATCCGGTTCATTCCAAAAGTTATGATGGTTAGTCACTTTATATGTTGTTTCTACCTCTCATTTTTATGATAAAATATTTCTATTAATTAATTTTATGGATACTTGGTAATGATTGAAGATGAAGTGAAGATCTCGGCCACGGGGGATTCGAACCAGCAGTCCTTGGGTTACCGGTATGGTGCTTTATCAACTGAGCCATAAGTATCAGCTGCTTACTTAATTTTTATGTGTATAATTGACGAGAATGCGTTTAATTATATTTTCCATTTTGTACTTTATTTGTATATTGTTGAAGAAGTTTAATGAAGCAATCGTAATGATGAATTTACTTTCAAGTCAGTTATTAATTATTATTCTGTTTTCATAGAGTATATTCAGTTCACTAGAAATTCAACACACCTCTTTAGAATCACTATTTTTTGTAACTATTTGCTTATATTTCAAGTTGGTATTCACCATGAACTGACATCAGTTGGAGAGACATTGTAAACCTGGGAGTACTGAACAGCTGCTTCGTCCTAGTATATGGCTTCCCAGCCATGCAAACCCGTGACCCCGCCGGGGCTCGGACCCAAGACCCCCAGGTGCCGCGGCCAGCAGGTTACCAGTGAGCCACTGAGTCAGAATTCAATGATCTACATCTTCCTACTCGGTCAGTTCACGATATAGTGCAATCTCCATCCAATACCATTATTGAGTTTTCTATTCTGAAGCTAATCTCATAATGATATCTTGAAAATAGGATACACTATTAAACCTGTTCGATTCACATTTCAACAGGAATTGAGCTAGACATAAACGCACTTAACATCAACATAAGTATGGAAGTGCAACAGCAAATAATGATAGTGAAATTTTCTGACATGAAGGTTATAAGTTTGGATGGAGGTTAGTGTTCAACGCTTGAATACGAAATCAGTAGCCAAGTGTGACCTGTAATACAAAATCGAGAATTTGTGCTATGCTTAAACAACTCGCCGAGTGATCTTGAACTGTCCATCGTACTGTCAAACCAAGAAATACAGTTGGCCTGCATTAAGTACCTAAATCGTAACATATAACTTCAAATGGATTAAAAGTTCACTTTGGGTGATAAAAAAGTAAAAAGAGGCCAGGAAAAAGGTTGTTTTTCAGCTCCAGCACTGAAAAGAGAATTTGTTGCCTAATTTTGACGTGATTTTTCATTAATAAACCCTATGAAAGATATATTTTTGATGTCATAGCTAGTGGATAACGCTCTGGCGTTTGAAGCGATTGACGGTGCGTTCAATCTTAGTGGGAACAACATTACTCACTGAGTGGGAGGTGAATCCAGCTGATGAGTCCTACCTAGGACGAAACGTGCGTCCCATATTGCACTGCTAACTATTATCTATCATCGATACCAATGAAAGTTAATTCCCTTCTCTTTGTTTCCAGTTATTTAAGAGGGATGCCTATGTTGACGAATGTCCATGACGGAACCTTAGCTATTAGAAAAGGTTCTCATTTAACCCTTCAACTACTCTAAATTTAGATTATTTTACATATGGTAAAAACAACAAGGATTTCTGAAGTTTACACCCCTATAAACCAGTGCAGATAACCCATTTGCTTTTCCTGGTGACCATTTCGAAAATGAAATAAATTTTTTTATTTATTCTACCTTAACTATTAATTCCTTTCATACATTTTGTTGCATATAGTTTTTACCGACAAAGTTTTAAGAATTTCGATTACACTGTTGACTAAACAACGAGATTCTTCTAGACCGTCATCTTTGTTCATCAATTCAATTTAGTATATTCTTAAATTAATCACCATTCATTTGAACAGTTTTACAACAGCGAAAACTAACAAAAAACTATTGATCCCCAAAAGACTATAACCATGCTTGTGTGAAGTGATTTCACGCAGGAAATTATCACTCCATAAGTGTACGTAAAGTGTACAGTGAACTCGTATGTCCATTGTTTTCATGAACACTAATTTCATCGGTCACCTTTTTTCGATCCATTACTTACACATATTTGTGCTTATTTTCTTCTTGTTTCGCCTTTTTATGTAAAAAATCTTTAGTCTGGTCGAACACATCCGTGTATGGATGATTTATTCAAGAATTCCTCTGCAGTCACAGACAATCTGAACTTGTTCACTCCGAATATCTCGTGTTTACCATCGAGTTTCTTCACTAATAGTTGTCCTGTTGGAAAAAACAATACAATTATCTCCTCAAAGCTAGTATCTGACAGTTTAGCATCATCATCAACATTTTTACTATTGAATAATCCACCAAGAAAATTGGTCAAACCCTTGATGATGGTCTTATCCGTGGACAGTTGAAGCCTAGAATCAGTAATAATATTACTAATAATAATGAGGTCAACGGTTGTGGTCACTTGAAACAGCTGAAGAGTACACGTATGTCAATCCATCGTGGTCCAGGTGAAGGTTCACTGGGATTGGGTTATCATTATACTGAGAATCATATGAAAAATGAGAAATTCGATGAGATTGGTACGTGGTCGATGTTTTACTTTGCTTTGCACTATCCTGTATTTCTGTATTTTATGCTCTCCTGAGTTTTTTCGATAACACATTGTTGCCCTCATAGTTTTAAAAAAAGTAGAAGAGTTATATTTTGTAAGACTGCACAGTTTTACCTATGTCTGGATTTTATATATGCACTAAAGGTGGCAACTATTATTTTTGGTTACCTGAAGGATCATTGAACTTCACCTTTAATTTATCTAAGAATGTGACTACTGGGAATTTTTTTTCGTTCAGAAATCTGTTGTCCCATGGTATAGTTTATAGCTCTCTGAAGCATTGTTGTTGAAGCTGGACGAGATGAATATTTTACTGGCTTTCAATCACAAGTGTTTTCGCAGCATGACTCTTCACCTTCTCCCTCCTCCTGCTCTTCGTTGATGTGAAAGCCTCCGGGACGACACATGTAACACATATCCACTCTACCAAAGCTTCTGTTTCAAACTGATCTGATTCAGTGAATGGTGATCTCCGTTGCGCTCAAACGCACGCGCTGCCTCATCTCAATTATTTACATGGTTTTGCCACTGGATAGGGGCAATCATGCGAAGACAACGGTGATCGAGTTACCGTTCATCCTCAGCTTAAAGAGGTCAGGTTCCACAGGCATAGAAGAAAACTGCCTGCATCAACGCGTTGTTGGCGTATGCCACTCTGGTTGTCGATGTACTTTTGAAAACCTCATCAGTCACACCTCCATCATCCCTCATACAACTATCCAGGTACTTAAGCTTCTCGACAACTTGCAGTGACCCTCCACCAAGGGTAAGTGGAGGTACAGGCTGTTGGCAATCCTGTAGAAGCACTTTACACTATGATAATGTTAAAGCACATACTATACCTAAGAACACAGATTGAGTATATTTTGAATAACCTGTATGTTGTTACACAGTACAACGATATCGTGTGCATGCTTGAGGTCGAAAAGTCTTTAGTCAGCATGGACTTCCGTGTGGTCGGTAGATCCAAGACGTGAATTAAATCTAGCTTGCTCCTCACGTATCAGTTTCTCACGCATTTTGCACAACCGGTGAAGTATGATAGTAGCCAAGACTTTAAAGGCTATGGATAACATACTGATTATACCACGTACTTTACGTAGACCTTTTTAAAGATGGGCACAACAATTGATTCATTCCAGAGTGATGGGATAGTGTCAGTCGATCATGAATGCTCAAGCGATGCAGTCAGTTCCGTGATAAGTCTCACACCCATTTTCGAAAAGAGCCGATGGAAGTTTGCCTGAGTTATATGTCTTGTGGCGCTTTAGAACTTGAATTTCCTTACGGGCCTCTGCTTCGTTAGGTGGGTCGGTGTTAATTAATTATGGAGCACAGGACACAGGTTGTTGTTGCTGGTGCAATGGGTCAGGTGAACTACTTTTCGAAGTGCTTCACCCAGCATTATTATTTGTTTTTACTTATTTATTTATCCCTTGGGTTCTTAGTGAAACATAGGGCTTCAGTATCACTTCGCCATTTCACTCTCTTCTCTTCAGTCTTTTCAACCTAGCTCCACCACTGCCCACAAGCTTTCATTTCCTCCTCACACAATCTCCTCCACGTCACCCTCAGCTGGGACGCCCGACTCGTGGTTTCCGTTTCGGGTTCCACTCGACGGCCTGGCCTGACCTGGCACTTGATATCCCCAAACGGTCTTCTCAGTGTATGTCCAATCCAACCATCTCCACTTTCTTCTGCATATTTGTTGGACGATGGGTTCTCTCTTCGTTGGTTCGTTGCCAGCCAGCCAGCCAGCCAGCCAGACCAGAGTTCCTTGTTGCTTATTCTTATTATTCTGGCTAACTGATCTTCAGTATCGAGAATGAATTTATCGTCAACTTTACTTTCTTCTATTTAATGTGTAGCATTTCTTCCACTTACAGATTGGCAACCTATTTGGTTACACTGGTTAAATCTCATTCGATTCATCACAATGAATGAGAAACAGCTGTACAATCTATGTAATCTAGAGTCTTTGGAGGCTTCAACTCATCTACAAGACAATAACAATTCTTCAATACATCTAAATGTAGACAATCACCAGTTAATTTCAGGTTTAGAGATATTGTTATGCAGAATAGTGGTATTCACTTGCCGCAAACATCAATTACAAACTTACCATTTCCATCACTTAATTTAGTCCTACCACCAAGTGGTGTTGGTTTGGAGCGTGTTTTAAATTTACTTTATTGGTTCTGCCCGGAAGCTAAACAGCTTATGTCTAGTGGTAGTAATCGGCTGAACAATTCACGACGTGCAATAGTTCAATTTTCCGCACAAGGTATTTTTGAATTGTCGATTGTTTTAGAGAAGATACGTTTGAAAAACTGTGGATTACCACCCCTGTATCATCCATTACCTCGATATGCATTACATTTCACTGAGTCATCATCAGGTGAGTGTGGGAGGTAATGTAGTTTCGTTATTATTTGTATTTTAAATTGATTAACTAATTAATTTTTATTCAGGTTATGAGTATATCAACTTAGGTGCTTTGAATTTCGCTTAATAGGGTGGGTCTACATTCCCCTACATGGTTCATATCAACAGTCTAAGACTTCATTGGCTGATACTTTTTTTTAGTTTGACCAGCTTTAACCTCCTTCCAACCTTAACCTGCCTACTATTTTCCATGCCCATCTTGGAGTAGCAGTTTACACTATAGCGGTAGGTACCTTATGTCTTATCAACAAACGTTTCTGATATGTTAGGACCTCAATGAACAGATATTTCCACTAACATAACTCACGGCGCCACTGTGATTTTTAAGACCTACTATCATGTCATAGCAACAACTATCGGTCAGGCTGGTCATCATGTGAACTGAATTGATTGTATAGGCTAACAGCATATCCACTTTTGTTCCATGGATTCTTTTTAGCTTCGTCGCTTAGGTTGTCAACTTATGATCACCGGGCGTTGAACTCCAACTTCAGGTTTAGACAGCGCGTTAGGTGTAGTTGGCAATCAGGTAGATGAACTGCACATGATTTTCAAGTTATACTTATTAAATGAGAAATTATGTCCTAAGCGAAATTGATGAACTAATTTGACTGATTCAGTGATAACAAAAACATCGAACTTATTCCATATTAGTCTTGTCTATTTGATATCCTACAAAGCAGCAGAATCTTATTTACTAAGTAACATTTCAGGTACAGTTGATTTCCTGATTATCTTGTCGGGATATTCATATACCTTCTAGAAGCTGTGATTTTTATGCTAGTGGAATTTTCCAAAGTCAATGCTAAGTAGTGATAAGTGAATATAAAGACACCATAAATACTCACTCACTGTCTCTCTCCGCACTAAACTATGTTAATTTTTACAACTGTGTGATTTCGTCCTACTGCCCTGTCTCAATTTCACCAACTAATGCATGCAGTCAGAATTATTTTAACCTACATTTCAGATATCTGAAAAATTCCACCAGCATTAAAACCATAGTAGGTCAGTTTCTCGAAAGACAGTTTTTGATTTCTACAGACTGATTTCAATGAGGCTTATCATCACAAGTTGATATCAGTTGGAGAACCATTGAAAAATCGGCAACACCGGATTTGTTTTGCTCTGTTTCTTGACTCCTCAATAGTGTTCATGCATAATCTCATTAGAATGCATTAAATAAATTATACCAATCATTGTAGAGTGCGATCACCAGTCTAGAAAACCCAACCACCCTCAGGGAGCAATTTTACTGATGTTAGATGGTTGCAGGTAATTGGCAGGAGGCTCTCTCTGACCTCGGTTTCATGTATGTTAGTACTCATCTGCGTCACGCAACTCTACAACCAAAGATATTATTGAGCCATTTACAATATGACTGACATCCTATAGGAGTTTACTCAGTACGCTGAATGTTCGTTACGTGGTAATTAACATAATGCTGCTAAAGTTTGTTCGATGAAGTTTGCAATCTAGTCATCGACCTGGAAGTATTACCAATGCTGTGCAAGTAAACACTCATTTAGAAATTCTGAGACCGGAGGAAAGTTGGCATTGGGTGGATAGTTCAAAAGACTAGGTAGGTAGGTTTATAGAGGCATACGATTAATGGTATGCCTGACTAAGGTGAATTATCTTGACACCAGTACACTATGGTATACACTAAACATGACTGGTCACCTTCAACGAAGATTACTTTCGCATCACCTATCTTTGTAACTGTATTTGAAACTTGGTCGACAGAATCCAGTCAGTACTGCTAGTTGTCTAGTTACCTAACAGTATACTTAACTCAATCTTATGTAATGTCAGTCATGGCCTAGATAGACGAATGATAATTCTAGAAACTGATTACATTTATTCGAGTCTTGCTGAATGCACATCAGTTTCCTTCAGGTCGGTTACAACCAGTAAGCAGGAATTCAAGGCAGAAGGAGGGGCGGGGGGGGTGTTCTTGTCATTTATATCCCCAACGATTCCATTCCACTTCACTTAACAAGTTATATTTCTTGACCGTTTTGTGATTAGCCACTAAAAAAAGTATTTACATTTCCCCTATTTTTTGTCTTTAGTTTTAAACTTTTTAGATCCCTTACCACTGTTATCAACTCCTAAACTTCTGTTGGGTCTTCTAATGGGTTTAGAAGCTGTATGGGCTTCACCGCTTGCACCAAGAATTTCTATACCGAAAGCAATCAACTTTTTAACCAAGTTGGATGACGGTGCTTATGTGGAACAAGCATTTCCTGTTCTTGGTGCTTCAGAAGTTTGTAAAGCACATGCTCGTAAAGTAGGTTGTTGTATGTATAAAGAATGATACAGGTGTGAAAGTGGTAGTAATGTGTTATTTTGTCCCACGAAGACCTCATTTTACATGTTTGTGTGTTATATTTCATTCATCTGAGTTGGAAAGATTGATTATTCCTGTCATGTTATCTCTCAATGGTTGTTTTTTCATTGCTAGATTCGACCAGTCAATGCAGTTACGGCTCACTGGTCAAGATGACTTTCATCCATAGCTCATGGATGTTAATGATGGATAGTGGCTAGCAGGGGAATCTAGGACGCGCATTTTGTCCTATTAAGACTCATCAGTTAGATTTAACCTGTTTCCCAGTGGATGATGTTGTCCCTCCTAGGATTCGAACCCAGGAACTGACGCCAAAGCACTATCTTCTAGGTTATACAGTCACAACAACCACTCATTGTGTGACAGTCATAGTATAGTTTTGATGTTATAGCTTGTAATTCCCCTTCCTTGATTCTACTGTTAGCCATTATACATCATTAATATCGAAACCTAACCTCGCCTGGTTAACTAGTTTACTAGTTACTAGCCGGGTAAAGAGGGAAGTTTGGGCATAGGGCTAGCAACCCTACCCCGTAAAACAAATCTAACCGCTAAAGAAACTTCAAAGCACAAACAAAATATAAAAAATGAAAACAAACTTATTCCCCGCTGGAATCGGAGAGGCGAAATGACGCCAGTTGGTGAAAGCCTGCCTTCGGGAAGCCAATTGGCCTGATGTGTCTTCTCTCCCTCGATGAAAGCGAAAGTAAACGTGGGGACATGGAATGTCCGCACGATGTTTGAACCCAGTAAGGCAGCCCAGATTGCAAGGAGATGAGAAGGTATAACATCGAAGTGCTTGGGATTTGCGAAAGCAGATGGAATGGGAGTGGACTCTCCAAACTGTCAACTGGAGAATCAATAATCTACTCCGGTCACCCAGACGACAACCACGAGCACACTGAGTTATGGAGTGGCTATCATGATGTCCTCAAGAGCATCGAAGGCTGTCATGCAGTGGGAACCAATCTCTCCTCCAGGATCATGACAGCAAGATTCAACTCAAAAGGAAGAAAGGTCACAATCATACAATGCTATGCACCTAGAAATAATGCAGAGCAAGAGAAAAAGGAGGAATTCTACAGACAACTTCAATCAACACTGGACAAGACGTCAGTTGGCGATATCAAAATTCTAATGGGCGACATGAATGCCAAACTGGGAGGGGACAACACGGGAAGAGAACTAACCATGGGTCGAGAGGCGTTAGGTGAAATGAATGAGAATGGAGAATTGTTTGCAGAATTCTGCGCATTCAACGATTTGGTGATTGGAGGCAGTGTGTTCAGGCACAAGGATATCCACAAAGCGACATGGATTTCACCAGATGGACACACTAAAAATCAAATCGACTTTATCTCAATCTGAAGAAAATGGAGACGCAGTCTACTTGACACAAGGTGAAGAAGAGGAGCAGATGTAGGTTCACACCACTCACTGTCTAGTGCAAGGAACCTTCGAAATCAAGTTAAAAGCCTTCAAGGAAGCTGGTGATAGACCTCAATTCAAGTACAACACTCGGAAACTGAAGGATGAAACTACAAAGGAGATCTTCACGCAGCAGCCATCAAGACAAAATGGGAGACATCGAGGGACATCCCTGAAGAAACCTGTGTGGAAGAACACTGGAAGTCTTTGAAAGCTATGTGGAAAGAAACCTGCACAACAGTATTAGGAAGGAAGAAGAAATAAGACAAGGAATGGATCTCGACGGATACCTGGAAGCTGATAGAGGAGAGGAGGATGGTGAAGCAGAAGATAAACCAGTGCAAGGATGCTCAACGACAAGAGGAACTGAGCACAATGTATAAAACACTGGATAAAGAAGTGAAGAAGAGTGCACGCAAAGACAAAAGACACTTCTACGAAACACTGGCAAGTGAAGCAGAACAGGCTGCAGGTAAGAGAGACCTGACAACATTGTATCAAATAACCAGGTTGCTATCAGGGAAGAGACCAACACAGATGAAACCAATAAAAGATGAAGAAGGAAATTTAATTACAAAAGAAGAGAAACAGAGGAAACGATGGGCCGACCACTTCAAGAAGCTCTTGAATCGACCACCACCTGCACTTCGTCCAGAAATACCACCTGCAGCCGCTGAATTACAAGTGAACACTAATCCTCCAACGAAAATGGAAGTCCTGAACGCCATAAAGCTACTGAAATGCGGGAAAGCATCAGGACCAGATGGAAAACCGCCAGAAGCACTGAGAACAGATGCAGAGACAACAGCGGACATGCTCACACACACCACTATTGCAGAAGGTGTGGAAGGAAGAGAAGGTACCTGGCGTGATTGGAAGAAGGGTTACCTTGTCAAACTGCCGAAGAAGGGAGACCTCAGTGCTTGCAAGAACTGGCGAGGAATCACTCTCCTGTCCACCCGAAGTAAAATATTAAGCCGCATCATCCTGGAGAGGCTTAAAGACGCACTGGATTCAAAACTGCGACCGGAACAGGTAGGCTTCAGGAAGTACAAATCATGTGCAGACCAAATTGCAACGCTACACTGCGCATCATCATAGAACAGAGTATAGAATGGCAGTCAACTCACTCTACCTCAACTTTATCGACTTTGAGAAGGCCTTTGACAGCGTCGACCGAGAAGTAATTTGGAAACTGCTTCAATACTACGGAGTACCGCAAACCTTTATCCGCCTCATTCAACAACTATATGAAGATGCCACATGCCAAGTAATTCACAATGGGAAGCTCAGTGATGCTTTGAAGTGAAGACAGGAGTGAAACAAGGTTGCCTACTATCCCCCATGATATTCCTTATTGTGGTGGACTGGATCATGCAGCAAACAGTGGGGAGCGAGAAGAGGGGGATACACTGGACTGCGGAAAATAACCTAGAAGACTTGGATTTCGCCGATGACTTGTGCCTAATGTCACATAAACTTGAAGATCTGCAGGCAAAAACTAACAAGTTGACAGAAGAGGCAGCTAAGACGGGACTTCAAGTGAATATAGAGAAGACAGAAGTGATGAAGATACCGCACCACCACCATCAACAACAACAACAAACTCCAATCACCGTCAACGGGAGAAATTTAAAGGAAGTAACCTCCTTCACCTATCTAGGAAGCACTGTTTCAACTACAGGCGGGACGGACGAGGACGTCAAAGTGAGAATCGGAAAAGCAAGACAGGCGTTCATTAGCCTGAAACCAGTGTGGAGATCTTCTGCACTCAGCATGCGGAACAAGATACGGATTTTCAACACCAACGTCAAGTCAGTGCTCTTGTATGGCTCAGAGACTTGGCGTGTCACGAAAGGTATTTCCAATAAACTACAGACATTCATCAACAACTGCTTACGCTCGCTGCTGAAGATCAGATGGCCAGAAAAAATAAGCAACAAGGAACTCTGGGAACGAACCAACCAAGAACCTATCACGCAACAAATATGCAGGAAGAAGTGGAGATGGATTGGCCATGCACTGAGAAGGCCGACTGAGGACATCACGCGTCAGGCCAGTTGCTCTAGTGGAATCCCCATGGGAAGCGACGAGTTGGACGTCCGAGGGTGACATGGAGGAGGTCGTGCGAGGAGGAAATGAGAGGTTGTGGGCTGTCGTGGGACCAGGTTCAAAAGATCTCAGAGAACAGAGGTCACTAGAGGCGTGCTACTGAAGCCTTATGTTCCACTAGGAACCCAAGGGACTAATAATAATAATAATAATAATATCGAAACCTAAAAATTCCAGCAACAACGGGGTATGTACTCAGCAGCCCATATACCGATAGTGGTCGATCAATTCACTCCAGTCAAAGACGACGTGTTAATTGCAAGTTGTAACGTCAAAACTATCTGTGGTTAAATTTGATGATATATTCAGTAGTCATCAGAATGCTGCATCCTTTTGAAGAGTCATCAGATGGCATTTTGGACGCTGAGTGTTGTTTTCAATCTAGTCTTCGTGGAAACATCAACACTCACTGGGATTTATTTTCACTCAACTGAAGTGTTGTAAACAGAGAATGGTACTCGCGTCCTATATTCCCCTTTTAAACACTACTAAATATACAACATAGCCTAGGGTTTGTCTGATTAGCTAATCGTCGTCAGTTATGATGGGGAAATTGAAATTTCGCTGTTTTGTTTGTTGTATGTTCTATTGTTTTAGACTGAGAAGTTATCATTTCGCTGTCATATAATTGTGAGGACTCTTTGGGACCCATTCAGCCGTCTTTTCCATGTCCTTGCACGAGACAGTGAGCCACATCTATTATATGAGGGCTAGTGACTATCTGGTAGGTGGAACGAGGCTCGAACCCATAACCCAGTGGTTGATAGTCGCTGCCCCAAACTAACCAGCTACTGGGCACTCTTTATTATTATTATTATTATTATTATTATTATTATTATTATTATTGTTATTATTATTAGTCCTTTGGATTCCTAGTGAAACACAGGGCTTCAGTAACACTTCACCATTCCACTCTCTTCTCTTCAGTCTTTTCAACCTAGCTCCACCACTGCCCACAAGCTTTCATTTCCTCCTCACACAATCTCCTCCACGTCACCCTCAGCTGGGACGCCCGACTCGTGGTTTCCCTTTCGGGTTCCACTCGACGGCCTGGCCTGACCTGGCATTTGATATCCCCAAACGGTCTTCTCAGTGTATGTCCAATCCAATCCATCTCCACTTTCTTCTGCACATTTGTTGGACGATGGGTTCTCTCTTCGTTGGTTCGTTGCCAGCCAGCCAGACCAGAGTTCCTTGTTGCTTATTCTTATTATTCTGACCATCTGATCTTCAGTGTCAGTGTCGAGTGAGCGAGTGTATACGACGGTTGTTGATGTATGTCTGCAGTTTGTTGGAGATGGTTTTCGCAACGTGCCAAGTTTCTGAACCATCACATAGAAGCACTGAGTTACTTGACTGACATTAGTGTTGAAAATCCATCCGGATGTTGTTCACGGTTTATGCTGAGTGCAGTGCAGTGCAGTATATCTGCACACTGATTTCAGGTTGATGAAGGCCTGTTTTACTTTTCCGATAGTGGCTTTGATATCCTCATCTGTTCTGCCGTCTGTAGTTGAAACGATGCTGTCTAGGTTTGTGTAGGTGAAAGAGTCAACTTCGTTTAGGTTTCTCTCGTTGATGATGATTGGCGATTGGTGCTTGTTGTTGATGCTGTTGTTGGTTGGTTATCTTCATCACCTCTGTTTTCCCAGAGGTTTATATTTTTTTTCAAAATATTTATGAGAAGTGATTTCCATTTTTTCTGACTTGTTAGACTTTTATCAGATCTCCTCACATCTAAGCACACGTTTGATATAACGCTAGGCTGTAGAACTGTATGGTTCATTAGTTTAGGCAGTTGACTTTCAATAAATGGATCATAGGTTGGAACGCCACTTCACCTATCGTGTTATGAGGAGTCAGATATTATCATTAGGCCTCAAACAATATATGTGGCTTAGTGCACGGAATGTGCAACAGGTGAGATTGCATACGGAAATTTTTTAGGTGCTAGGCTGTGTATGAGAAAGTTTATCATACTACCGACTAACCCTGGTCCAATAAGATGGAGGGGAAGGGTTGTGTTCCGGACTTACACTGTTTAAAAGTTGTTAGCTATCTTATCTAGTGAGTCATAGTTTCATTACATCTACATTTCTAAAGCCATTCATTTATCTTTTAAATCTTTAGTTTTTCTGCACTTATTGAATGTACTTTATTCTATGTTGTTGTTCTATGTTTATTACTTCAAATTCTCTTCTTTTCTTATCATATGTTTTATAGATAGCTGTTGATTATGCCTATCGTAGAGTGGATACAAATTCAGCTGTATTCCAGTTTACGTGTAATCTGTTATTATCCCTTATGGAAGTGTGCTGCACTCAAGATTGTATTGAAAAACAACAGCAAAGGGAAAGGCACAAAAGCATAAAATCAGAGTCATTGCCTACAGAGTTACCCTTTAAAGGATATAACCTGAAGTACAGTACATTACAACCAGCACCATTAGACCGTTTACTCCACTGTCTTACACCAAGAGAGCTAGCTATTCTCTTATCAGATATTCGTCGAAACTTACGTCTTCGTATGGGATTCTATTACATTAAGCAGCGTAAAGCTATAGAGACCATATATCCTGAAAATAACGGTAGTGATAATAATAATGGTGGGGATCAACTTCCATTGGTTATGATGTTAAATCCCCTCCCACCCACCCCAGCATTTATTACACCAGGTTTAATTGTTGCATTGATTCAAGCACATCTTATGGAAGAGGATATTGCCGGCTGTTTAGGTGAATTATTGCAGTCTATGGAAGTGTTAACCCAATACACAAATAATCAACAAGCAGATGGATCTTCATGTACTAGTGTCGGTGGTAGACGTCGTGGTGCTTCAAGTATTGGTAAGTCAACAGTTGGGAATAAACATCTGAGTTCCGATTCCATGGAGACTGGTGACAATGTTGGTGACGATAAAGATGAAGATGAAGATACTATAGTTGAAGAAATTAGTGTGAACGGGGAGCAGTATATAGTTATAAAGTGAATGTGACAAGATATTTGATGACTGTTTCTCAGTCCCTGTCTCCTCCAGTTGTACATAACATTATACTCTTGTAGAATCAGATTTTTACATATCAACAGCAGTTGTGTTGATTATAGACAATGCAGAATATTATTTTCACTAATGTTTATTGTAGGTTACTTCCATTTTTTTCAAGGAATGAATACATTTTGTAAAGAAAACGTTTGCTGATTGGTTGTTTTTGAGATATTGTTTGGCTGCATGTATAAGTTATCGTGACCTAACTGCATTGTAAGCTGTGCTTGGTTCAACTGAGCTATCATTATCAACTGACTTCATAGGACTTTGATGAGTAGGACGTTTATCTGACGTGTTGTGTGTGGGATAATATAAATCATAAATGGAATTTTGAATTGATGTAGAAGATTTGTAGCTCATATTGACGATAAAAATGGTTTGGTATTCTCTGAGCTTTGATAATTGTCTTCTTCGCCAAATGGAGCTGTAACTGACTGACTAGTTCAGAAATTTGATATTCTAACGGTGAGTTCAATGTAGCTGAATACAGTTTCACCTTACCTTTCAAGATTTTGGTAGTCAGCCAGTTAGTATCATAATCCCTTTCAGAATGGTTGTCGCTTTTCGGTTAGAGCACACTGTTGCTGAAATGCTCTGTTATCAGACAGAGACAAAATCAGGGTAGGACCTCCCAAACAAGTACGTCGGTTCAAATTGCCACACTTCATTATAGTACACAAAGGATAGGAGGATAGAAAAAGACTGATATCAAAGTAGACAAAGTTGTATGAGAGAACAAACAATTTAAAGATAAAGGTTAATGCAAATATTCAAGCTTCAGAAGACATCAAGGAGTGAATACATCTGTGCCATTGTAACCGGTTTTCAGCCATATCACCAAGAGTTCTTTATCACTGATTCCTATCGTCACCTGTTCCCCAACAGGCAGTCCATATCTCCCCATATGACTCAAACCAAGGGTCAGAGACTTCATGAACTGGTGCCAAGTCTTGGTCTGACCACCCTAAACCTTCTTCCAACTTCCCTTAGCATCGCGCGTCGAGTTAGGCGGTGGCTGGGTATGCGCAGCACATATCCAAGGCATCTCGGACGATGAAAATTCACAACCTCGTCGACTGACTTATCTATCTGACCTAGTACTCTTCGCTAAGCCTCAACTTTGCTAGCACGTTGATTCTACCGAGTGCGTGCAGTGCTACGAAGACAGCTGTGATCAAAACCCAGTAATCGCTTCATGTTTTCTACTTTCAACGGCCATTTCTCACAGTTGTACAACAGGATAGAGCTAACTACAGTGCAGTGTACTCGTCTTTTGATAGATAGTTGGATATTAATAGGTGACAGGATACAAATATGTTGTTTGACACCATTACCTCGCTGTCAGGAGCTCATGCAACTGTTTTGATAATGATGTCCCAATATTTGGAAATCAACAAACACATGTATATGTAGGTGTACTTTGAGCTATTCAGCTGAATTCAGTGCACGTGTTTGAGTACTACGCTATGAGCGTGCTATACCACTTAATTGCCTAGACCGAAATAAGTAGAGTAGAATTGGAAACTGAGATCTGCTGCTTGTAAGTCGAATGCTTAAGTCTATCAGCTACGTCTGCGCTAGGAACCATACGTTATGGCTATAATGTGATTACTGATGTTTACAAGATTTTCTTGAGTGAATAGTGTACCCGTTTGAAAACAATTTAGGCAAATAATTATTCAATAGTGTGATGAAAGTTCATCATAGTGGAGAGCACATACAGTCTTAAATTTGCATTCATCACCCGTGGTAGCGGTTTTAGAGATAATACTTATCATACTAAAGTTAGTAGTTCAACCATGAAAAGAGTTGAAAAACAATTACATTTTTCATGGTTTCGAGTCTATAAAGTTTATGAAGACAATAAAGTGAAATTACTGTTTGTAACTAAAGTTTTCATGCTATCAAGTAGGATGATCTTTGAAAACTCCCTTTCACGCTGTAATAATACGCTAATTGATGCTACCACAACTCAACTGTTCTTCATTCCTCGAACCTATACAACACTTCTAATCAATCTCAACATCAGCAAATAGTATGGGATATAGAAGTCTGTGGAATGACATGTGTAAAACACTTCCAATTCATCAATACTAGGTAGAGGCTAACTTGACTGTATGAATTTATATACAATAATACGAGTGACTTTAAGCGATATGGTGAAGATGGTGGTCATCGAACACTGAGAATGACTTCTTTATGAAGTAGATGCTGATGATTTCACCTAACGTGGTGATGAAACGTCCAAGAACAAACCTCAAAGTTCGTAGAACACCCCCCCCCTAGTTGATGTCCAAACATTGGGCAACTAAACTTTCACTGTTAGATGAATATTGTAGCAGCACTAAAGATGGGGCAGACTGGCATACATTATTTTGGCTTCTCAGAGTACAGCAAAATAAATACTGATTAAGATAACTATAACAGCAATAAGTTTCTAGAGAATGCCTTTTTCACAACTTCCTTCTCTCAACTCTACAGTTATTTTAATATTAGTAGCTTCGTGGTGGTAAACAATGGAATTGGAGACGCGCGTTTCCTGCCTTTTTGGGACTCGTCAGCTGTGTGTACGTTCATTCCAGGGAGACTCAAATCCAGCATCTATTGCTTAAAATGTCAGGTTGGCATCTACTTGGCTAGCTAGTCATAGTCATTAAAAAAATTTTTGGCTTGTAGAAAATAGTTTTGATTGAAATCACCAACACGAATCAAGTTAAATGGAATATAAAATAAATTATCAGAAGCATCCTAATTCTTCAAGAATACTCTTCAGGAAATAAGGAAATTGAAAAAACTACCAGTTTTGAATTTAGGGTCACGAAGATGCTTATTTATAAAATGAAGTGTTGTCAAGGGAAGCGTAGAAAGAAAATCGAGAGATTATAACAATTATTACGTCGCAGGTTTGAACCCCAATCCACCTACGTACTTCCATCCTGTCAGGTAGTAGTATCATTCGCCCTCATACAATAGGCGCAGCTAATTGTCTATTGCACATGGTTGGTAAGTGAGAAAAAAAAGGTGTTTTCCGAAGAGAATTAATAATACGATGGTAAAAACAAGGGTTGGACAATTTTATTTTTGTACTTATATATTTTAGGTTTCATCATGTATCTATCTAGTTAAGGATTCTAAGAAGCTAAGGAGATGAAGTCCCATCATTGTTTATGAATTTCTTCTGCGTTGTAGTTCTTTACGACTGATGGGTTTATCATTACTTTGCAACCAGTTAGAATAAGACGTTTGTCAATCCCACACAAGATGATTCCAGTAAGTTTCTTTTAACTAGACGGAATAGCGTTTTTGAGTTGCCTTTTATTGTTGTTGAAATAAGTCACATTGAAAGACTAACCTACTTAACTGTGCGGGAGACAAATGACCTGATGTAATAGCATGCGAAAGATAGTCCCAGAGGTTCAAAGGGAACCCTTGACGCCTGGAGAATGACTTTGTCAAGATTGACACGGAGGATTTGCTTAGTATAATATGAGCGCCCATCTTCAGGCCACAGAAGATGAAGTCACTTCTGATGCTATGCCTATCTTCCATACGGATTCATGTCATTACAGTATCAAGCGTATTGGCAGAATGAGTTGATACAGGCGCTTGTGAAAACGATGTAGTTGCACTCTTGTGGAAGCCCAAATCTTAGCAAAGTTCTGTCGTTTTCGAGCAAAGAGAGGTATGTAAAATTCATAGACATTTGAGATAGTTGATTAAATGTAAGCGCAAATTAATATGTAAGCCTTAGAGTGGTTTTCTCCTAGGATTGATGTTGATAAGAGAACAAGTGAAAATCTGAAAGCATCGGAAGACTGTTTCGTTCAACTCGAGACTCCTCAGCAGTCTCTATTCAACTCCTATGAGGGGTCGAATCTGGGGTATTCAGTTCTTGTCATGAGTAATTTACCGTTTAATCACCAGATAAATTAGGACCGTGAGATTAGTATATATTGGGAGCTGTTGATTCAAATAATTGAGTCTTCTTGTCTGCTTACCTACTGGAATTCAGAAAGGACCTATTGTGTATGGATTGGGATTATTTGGGCAACTACTGAAAAACCATTGAACGGTTTTCACGTTCCAATTTGAGGGACCCGCATTAGTAGTGTTGGTCATTTGATTCCAATCTAATAGTCTATGCTTTTCATTTCCGTGTACTACTGGTACATGTTACTGAAAGTCATTTCTATTACTTTCTTGTTTACAGTGTTCTGCTTGTCGTTGAGAAAAACTACCTCAACAAAGTTTAAGAGGGATCAAGAATTTTAAGTGATGAATAAGCATTAGAATAAAGTTGTTTGCATTTTAACCTGATAGCTAAATGATAAGGTGGTCTTTGCAAGACCTGACGGTTCTGAGTTTTTGATCGCGCGTGAGGTTATGGGTGTATACTGCTGGACAGTTTCCTTCTAGGGCAAAACAGCTGCTGTCTAGTGCTTCCGGGTTTCCAATTGTTTTCCGACTATGATGAGTACTATATTGATATCAATCAGTCCCCACAAACCTCCAATGTGGTTTATTAGTGATACGAAACAGCCTAAATGGAAATCACTTTTAGTCATCAGCTGGTAAGGTAAAAGTTTTTGGTGCTTCACTTTTTGTTTCATATTGTTTTATGGTCAGGAAAACTTTATTGGACAATTTTATCTTGCACTTGACCTATCAGAATAAACTATTTAACTTTTACTCTAGTGGTTTCATGTGTTCATGAAAACTATAAAAATGATGTAGTTTTGTCGATTATTATAGTTTCAAATCAAGAAAAGATCGATAAACTATTGAGTTATAATGGTCTGATCCTCCTTTAGAAATTAGTTAGAAAACAATTCGAAATCCAAGCACCAATCAAATCTTATTTGGCAGGTGTATAAAATTAGTGACTTGGGAATCGAATGTTACAGTGCAAAGATGTTAGTAAGAGTTAACAGTTCGTATATCAT